TGTACCAGCGAGTGACAACATACTCGGTCATGAACTGAACCTTGGCATTGCTAGTGCTTGCCAGTCCAAAGTCACATATTTTAAGGTCACAATTTGCATTGATAAGAAGGTTTCCAGGCTTCAGGTCATGATGGAGAGTATTTGCTGGGTGAAGATAGTTCAGGCCTCGAAGCAACAGCAAGAAGGAGAATGAATTACGACCAAAAGTACAGGATTTTAAAATATTTGATCATTTCCTGGCCACAATAGAAGCTTTAGTGCAGAACTCCAGAACCTCAATCCCCACATAATTATCTCAACTGAATTACTATATAAAACTCATGTCTATATATGCTAGAAGTCTCTTTATGTCCAAATGACTTCGAGAAAGTGGCAATCAGGCAGATACAGCTCTTGGAAGTATGCTTCCTAATGAAATTCATTTTAATAGCAGTAGGCCTATGCATAAAAGCTTTTCGATGCATAATCGTACCAGATCTATTAGTGATGAAAGTGCTAACTATGCTTGTAATATTAGGCCAATACATTATGCCTCAAAAGCTGGAATGCCTAGAACATGTTTCTCCCAAAGCTACCATGAACTAGCTCCCATCATGTCAGTCCCTAGCTGTTGCCTAGTCATGTTAAAATATTGGAGATCAATTTGCAGGAACAAACAATTTTCTCCATCGATAATTCGACATGGTGCTAAGAATGAATATAACAAGTGGACGGCGGTCCTATTCAGTGATTGGGAAATTGCAAGAAAGGAAAGCACATAAAACATCCTTTATATTAACTTCATTCAAGTGTAATGTAATACCATGTAGCAAGAGCAGTTATCCATATTAACCAAATCAAATAACAATCTCCACAGCCGAATATAATACTATTATTCCAATACATGCCTTTGCAAATGGGGACGGATCTACAATGCGGGCAATGGGGACAGCTGCCCCAACTAAGATCCTAATATCTCTTAGAAGTTATTACAAAAATCCTTAAAAAATTTAATTCTTTTATAGCTTGCCCCTACTAAAAATGAAAAAAAAAATAATATATATGATACTTTTATAAATATTTAAAAGAACAAAACTATAATTATAATATAAATGACTTATTTTAAAAAAATAATAGGTCACATGTATAGAAATAAATAAAATAAACATTTATATATAATTTTTTATTTAAGGGCAATCATTTTATTTAAAAAACAATAAAAGTAAAATAAAAAGTAATATTTCTACTCCACCTATAATTTGTCCCTTTGTCCATACCCATAAAAATTACAAAAGACAAAGGATAGAAGTAGAAAAATAACATGACAAATAAAAGCCAATAAACCAAACAAACAAATTATAGGATGAACATTTTTTTTTCTTCCATCAATAAATTTAAGTAAGTAATTACTTTTTTTTTGTATTTATTATCATTTCTTTATGTGATAGAATATTTGTTTACTATTTAAATTATTTTATATTGGTAAAATAATTTAATTTGGGGCTTAATTTATGATTTATTTATATTTATATTATAAGTGGATTAAGATCGAAGAATGTGGCACTTTCTTAAGTTGATCAATGAAATAATTTAATTTTTATGAAATTATTTTTTATTTATAAAATTATATTATTTAATTAAAATTCAAAATACATAATAAAATATGCATGTTGATTTTGTCTGCATAATTACATTTCGATATCTAGTATAAACTACAATATTATCTTTTTATTTGTTAGAAATTATATAAATTAAATTATCTAATTTAATTATTTGTGAAAAATATCTTACTAAGATAAAATCAATTTTGAAGGAATCATCCAAAATCAATAATAGTGGCACACAACATTTTACAAAATAAGTTCATGTTTAATTAGATTTAAATAATTTTCATCGGATCTAAAGTTATAAAAAAAGATTTTAAACTACCATCCCAATACAAGAGATAATGTTTGAAAAGTTTATTTTTAAACTAAAAAACCCATAAAAATAATTATAATGTGTTAATTTTGTATATAAATGAAATAATTTTTTATGCATTTGAGTTGATTTATATTTATATTAGTTACTCCAGTGAACATAAATTATGAATCCATCTCTGAATCCAAAGGGATTAAATAGATAACTGGACGAGGAAATACTGACAGTGATCATTTGAAAGCGCTTGAGAAGACTTAATCATCTGATGCATATTCATATCCATAAGTTCCTAAACTAGATAAACATCGTTGAAGCTTCTCCTATGAATCGGCATCATTGACATCTTTCAAAGCAATCACATTTTCTTGTCTACGAAGTCTGAGAAGCTTCAATTCAAGCAAAGTTCTAAGTGGCGCATCAACCTGGTTCTCAAAGGCATTGTTTATCTTTTTAATGGCAACTTTCTATTGGTTTCACAATTCACAGAAGAGTAAACGATACCATATACCACATCTCTTTAATTTTATTCTACTATTTATTTATTAACTTTTTTTGCTTTTAAACGCATTTACAAATATTAAAAATCAAAGATTTAATTTTATTTCAAAATGTTTAACGATTCTACCTATTACATACATGTAATATATAAGCTCTCAAAATTCAGATATATTTATCAGTAAATAAAATATACAAATGTATAGAAAATCATCAGCCTCCTTTTTATTTGCTCCGGCTGTGATTAATATGTCCAAAATAATCAGCCACTTCAAAGACATAGCTGCAAGTGCTAAAAAGATTGGGATTGCGGTGAGCGTGGATCGAACACGCGACCTTCAGATCTTCAGTCTGACGCTCTCCCAACTGAGCTATCCCCGCCTTGGCTTTTTAATTCAATAGAATTAAGAGGAAAATCGTTATTACCATCGAAAGGTCATCCGACCAATGTCTGTCTTTTACACATGGCATGATTTCGCAGATGGCAACCCTATAATCCATATCGATGCGTGATATATGTGACGCAAGCAAACTCGTATGTTGCTCCAGGTATGATTATTTGCAGCTCATCTCTTAATTTTTTTTGTTTAAGACAACTGTTAGTAAGAATAAAATCTTGAAAATATAAGAAAAAGGATCAATTAATGACCAAGATCAAGAGTTATACTCAAATCAGATGAATAAAGGTTTAAAAGTAAAGAGTGTTTGTACTTCAAAAATACTTAGATAGGTTAAAAAATCTATCCGCATAAGGAACTATTGCTGATTTCATAAGCCCAAATTAAGCTGGTAATTAATTATTCACTTAAAACATGATAAATCAACACTTTAAAATATTAATTGATAAATTATTGAGATAATCAAATCGTCATAAACTTTAAAATTTTAAATTAATCTAACATATCAATTCAATTAAAAATATTAAAATACTTGCACTTCTCAATCACCTTATACATATATGCTTTAAGATAAATATCTATTTTACCTTTTAAATATTAAAATACCCTAACATGTTTTTTTTCAGCTCCTTTCAAACGGCGCATACACCTTGAAAGATGTTACATGGCTGTAATAAAAGAAAAACAAAATCGATACCCCGAATTGACTCATATCATCTGCTAAGCAGGAATTGGTGCATTTGGGTTTTGGAATCAGCATCGTAGTCATGTCTTTTCCGGGGAAGGAATATCCTTGTCTCCAAAGGAGCAGTGATATTTTCCTCTATAGTATTTATAAACATGATAATGATACGATTAGGCAAAATGGCCTTGGCAATCTTGGTTGAATGACAGATGATTAGAACTGCTGGCAATTTGATTGTTAATCAATTTAAAAAATCGTCAAAATTTCACTGTTTATAAAAAAAAATCTCCAAGGACCATGGCATATATTTTGGAACTGGATTCTCTTTTACCGCAATTTCACATTAGAGTTAAAAAGAAAGCTGAAAGGTCTAATCTTTCGCTTATCCTTACGTAACATATGGTGAACAAAAGTTCCCTACCCAAAGTTGATTCCAAATCGATTTATTTGAGGTTTCCCTGTTACATTCTGATTACAAGACATAACTAACTCAAAACTAGATGCAGATTCTCTTTGGACAAGAAAGTTTTGTGTTTTAATATTGTTTTTTTTTTTTTCTGGATATTACCATATGTTTATGATGCCTAATTTTGAATGCTGAATCTTTTAGTTAGCCATGAAAAAAGAAGTTGGTTTCTTCTAGTTACTGGGGTAAAAGAAAAGAAAAGGAAAATCGAATTGAGTAAAACGCTAGATGTACACAAAGTGAGACAGAGCACATGAAATCCATCATAAGGGTAGTTCCCAAACAGCCAAACAGGAAACACAGTCCTTCCATTGTCCTATATTCCAATTTCCAGGCCCCTCCAAAATGTTTCGTCAATTCATTCATTTGGATTTTTCACCCTCCTTTTGTTCTTTCTTGTGGCAGGTACGCTGTTTTCTGCTTCCAAACAAGCCAGAAAAAACGCATTAAAACTAGAAAAAAGTTTAGACCAAATTTAAAATTTAAATGTGCAGCATCTAGCATGTTGCCAATGCCATGGTTCGAATAGAAACAGAAGGGAAGAAGGGGAAACCATGAAAATGGCCTCTTAATTATGATGAACAACATTTGAAAGGAAATTATGTCTGAATCCTTTATTTCTCAACTAAATTACATAACGATTTCTAAATCCCTGATTTTATTTTAGTATTGTTTGGTTTCTCCTGTTTATTTATCCTAGTATTTAAAGGAAGAACCCAAGGATTTTCTGAACAGTAAGCATCTCCCTACCTCCCCACACCCAAAACAAAAAAAATGGTCAGTTTTGCCCTCTGGTTGGTGGGTTAACGGAATTGGTTCAGATAAAAAGCTTTTAGCAGAGCCAGATAGGCTTGAATCCATGTGTTGTCAGATCATTCCAAGACCCAAAAAAGTAGCGGCCCAGAGTTCTAGTCAGGAATCAAGATTCCACCACGGTTCTCGAAAACAAAAATAAAAAACTGGTTTTGGAATTTGGCATGTCAATGATAAAGAGCCCAAGTACCAGTAAATGGTAATCAAAGAAATAAGAAGTTAAATATGAGCTTATTATAAGCACACATATGCGAGCCTTCTGCATAGCCTCTCCCCCATCTCCTCCCCTCCCGTAAAGGAATCTGATCGTACTATCACCATATCCAAACGAAGATCTTGACTTGTCCCACTGCTTTTGTTGTTCTCTCAATGTCTGCAGAGCTCTTCCTTCTCTTTATCTCACTCTGTCCATCCTTTGTCTTTCAATCAACTCCTTCTAACCTCTTTCTCTCTCTGTTTCTTTCTCAACTGTTGCAAGAGCAAAAAAAGGCTGTAGTTTAAACATGTTGAAATCTCCAGAACTCCCAGATTGTTTTTACCAAGACAAGCCAACCTTAATCATTCCAAACACCCCAACCCCAAAGCATTCCTTGTATCTCTCCAACCTTGATGATCAAAAGTTCCTTAGATTCTCCATCAAATATCTATACCTTTTCAAGAAAGCTGTTAGCCTAGATATCTTGAAATATTCTCTCTCCAAAGTTCTTGTAGATTACTACCCATTAGCTGGGAGGTTAAGAACATGCAGCCTTGACAATCAGAAGCTGGAGATTGATTGCAATGGTGAAGGTGCTGTCTTTGCTGATGCTTTCATGGATATCACTTGTGATGAGTTTCTTGAGATTTCCCGGAAACCAAACAGGTCTTGGAGGAAGCTCCTTTACAGGGTTGAAGCTCACTCTTTCATTGATATACCTCCACTTGTAGTTCAGGTCAGCTTCCATCATACTATATATTATTCAAAACTAATTCTTGGTTCCTTTAATTTGTTCCTTTCTTAATCAATTCAATTTCAGATAGAAAAAAACATATATTTTTTGAAGTTAAGATTCCCATCTTTAATAATTATAGAAAAATACAGTTCTTCAATGCCATCTTTCTCTTTTGTATAATATACTATTTATTTCATTGGTAACGCAACCATCAAACAAAATTCTGTCACCGTACAAAGGCAAACGACGTCACTCTGTTCTCCTTCCGTGTTTTCTCAGTCAGCCATCAGACATTGCATTGCCGACGACACCGTTTGTCTTTCTGTTGTAAAATTGGACATGTTCATTTTCAAAGAAAATGACCCTACTCCTTGCTATTTGGTCCTCTCTCTTGTTCCTTTCATTACACTGTTGGTGTTTTTTTTTCATTGTTTTAATTGTAATGTCAATAAATTAGTCAAAATTGAAAATTTGAAATTATGTCTTAAAACTTTAATTATTTCTTTTAATTTTTATTTACAATGCAGGTAACGAATCTCCAGTGTGGAGGTATGATCCTCTGCACCGCGATTAATCATTGTATATGTGACGGCATTGGCACATCCCAGTTCCTGCACTCCTGGGCCCACGTGAACAACAAGCCAACTCCTGATCTTCCCATCACACCCTTTCATTCCCGCCACGTGTTGAAACCCCGAGATCCTCCTCAAATAACCAACACCCACCTGGGGTATACCAAAAATACCCTCAAAGACAATAATGCACACTTGGACATCAACGAGTATCTGCAGTCCCAGCCACTGGTGCCAACATCCTTAACCTTCACCGCCTTCCACGTCCTGCTACTAAAACGACAATGCGTTCCATCTCTCAAATGCACCACCTTTGAGGCACTGGCCTCGCACACCTGGCGCTCGTGGGTTCGTTCCTTGGACCTGTCCCCTTCCTTCAATGTCAAGCTCCTGTTCTCCGTCAGCGTCAGGAAAAAGGTAAATCCGGAAATGCCGCAGGGGTATTACGGGAATGGATTTGTTCTCGCATGCGCTGAGACCGCTGTAAAGGACTTGGTTTCCCCGAATTTACACCACGGGATAAAGTTAATCCAGCAAGCTAAATCCAGTTTAACCGATGAGCATGTGAGGTCAATGATTGATTTGTTGGAGGACAAAAATGTCAAAACGGATACTTCTTCGAGCCTGGTAATTTCTCAATGGACTAAGTTAGGATTAGAGGATTTGGATTTTGGAGAAGGGAAGCCTTTGCATATGGGCCCACTGACAAGTGATATTTACTGCTTGTTTTTACCGGTGGTGGGTAATTTTGATGCAGTAAGAGTGCAAGTTTCGGTGCCAGAGTGTGCGGTTGAAAAGTTCGAGTATTTTATGAAGGAGGGTTTGGATAAAGAAGAAAATGGAACGGAGAACAAAATGGTTTAATTTGAAGAGTGTCCTTCAAAGTTTTTTTTTTTTTTTTTTTTTAACTTTCTTTGGTAATAATGACAGAAATTTACTGTAATTTGAATATCTAAAGGTGAATATATGATTTCTTGTTTATTTTGGAAAAGTAGTTAAATTTGATATTATGGTTCGCCTAAAACATTAACAAAGACTAAAGTCTAAAAATAATACTAGTAATCCCTTCAGAAAAAAAAAAGACTATTAATTAATAAATATTGAAAAAAAATCATTTCATTTACAGTTAAATGGAGTTTCAAATTTTCATTTACAAAGTTAGAGGATTGCCACACTCTAATAGGATATAATTAAATATTGATAAATTCATATAATAAATAATAAGATATGTGATAACATTTTAACATATTTTATGAAATTTAAAAATTTTATGGACAGTACATGTTATGAATCTAATTTAAAGTTTATTATATGTTATAGATATACATATTTTCTTGTTGCCTTCCTATTATTAAAATAGTTTGTTTAACAACTCTAATTTTCATTCAATTATTTAAAATAAAATACTAAAAATTAAGAACTTAAAAATTTTTTAATATAATTGAGATTATCATAATTGAATCCTTATCGTTAAAATAAAATTCAATATTATATCAATTTAAGACACAAATGTTAACAAAGATCTAAGTATAAAATAAATGAATAAATATTAGATGAATAACTCAATGAAAAAGATTTGTAAAACCTAGCTAACATGCCATGATAGCAGACCCCAAATCTACAGCAATGTCACTTTTTTCTGGCGTGTTCTTTGTAAATCAAACTTTGTGGATTGCCATCATTTAGGTCAAATACATCGAATTCATTGCTGCAAAAAAAAAAAGAGATTTTGCCAAACTAAGAGACATGCAAATCTGAAAAAGTCATACATAAATTATTCCAGTAGATCAGTGGTCATCATCGTTTAGAAAAATTTGGAGTGTCCCTTTCTATCTTCTCTAGATATGGGTCATGAGACTGTCGACCCTCCGGTGGGACAACAGTACACCCCCTTTTTTCATGACAAATGGATTAATGCTTGTGTCTTGACAGGTAAGAAATGGATATTGATTTATATTCCTTGCGTGTATATGCCACAACATTTTCGAATTATTAAGTACTATTTAAATAATTAAGTGGAATTTTTTGTGTCAAAAAAAAAAAAGAAATTTGATTTGCAGTAGTTATTTCAAGGATCAATGTGCGTGTCATTTTATATTTGGATCATATTATTTAAAGAATAACTTCGAATTTTTTCCCTAAATAATAAAGAAAGCAATGATTCATTTGTTGCTGTTAAGACAAGACCAATAAGAGGAGAGGTCGACATGCTTATGATTTGCTAAGGAGGGCTAAAGTTTAATAATTAGACAATAATCATTGTTTGGGTTAGTGAGTCTTATCCTTCATGTCATATCTGATATATAAAATAATAAATAAGATAAAATGATAAATTTTTTATATTATATTTAATTTTTATTTAAAAAAATAAAATTATAAAAAAATAAATGTTTTTTTTGTATAATACAATTTAATTATCTCAAATTGGAAAAGATTATTTTTATTAATAAGATCGAATTTATATATCTTATTAAATTTTTAAAAATTACATCAAATATAAATTTTAAAAATGATAATTTTGATTGATAAATAAATTATTTTATTTTAATTTTTTACTCATCAAATATAAAATATGATAATATTATTTAATTTAATTCTATTTATAACGAAATCTTATCTTATTTTATTTTGTTATAATTTTATATACCAAATATATCATTAGTTTTTAATTATGTATTTTGTTGTTATTGTTGAGAAAAAAAAAGGCACTTCCTAGCTCTAGCTTCCATTTAAATGAGAAAGTGGCTACAGAAACCCCAATCCCCCAACCAAATGCAAGTGCCAGTTATAAACATCTTTTTTCCTTTTCTTATTGAACAATTGATGATCATCGGGAAACATAATGGAAAATGGCAATCACAAATTTCGCAAATTAACCGTCTTCTTTTCTTACATTTTCTTTTGGGGAGGTGCGGGTGGGTGTAAATGATGGCTGGCCTAATGATTATAGATTATCATATCATCTTCATTGTTAGTTCGACTGTGAGACGTGCCAGTTCTTACAATTTTGTACAAACTTTGTTACCCTATAATTTATTTACAATACTATGATATGGACTGACAAGTGCCAGAAATTAAATAAACCTGTTTACCTTTAAAAAAAACATGTAAAAGATAAGATTAAATATTGTTATGTGTTTACAATCACTTTAATTTTGGTTGTTTAGTATGCAACATATGTCAGTTCTAGACATTTTTCTAAAACACACGTTATGCTTAAAGATTGGTCGGAAAATAAATTGGATCGATATAATTAATACGTTGTCTTTAGTTATTTGATCTAGTGGTCAAGACAACTTTAAAAAAAGACATCAGAATTTTAATTTTTTTCCTCCTCTTAATATAAGGTTATATCCCCCTTGAATGATAAAAAAAGATATAATTAATACGTCGATGGAGTGATTGTTGTTTTAAATGAAAGTGCTTAGTTGTTTATTTTTAAAAGAAGATCATAATTAAAAAATTTTGTAAGCATTGAATGTTATTTTTTTTAATAATGATTGCATAATTTAAAATCAAATTATGAATTAACTTAATTGCTTTTTAAAGGTCAAGGGTCAACTTTTTATTTTAAAAAATTCAAGGGAAAGAATATCAAATTTTATTGAGAAATTACAAAGTAGTATATTATTATTTTTTATAATATTTTAATAGTTGGAGCATTGAAGGATGATAATTGAACAAATCAAGATAATTTTTGCCTAACTCAAATCTCGAATTATATTTTTAATATTTGAATTCAATTCATAATAAATATATATAATTCGGGTTTAATTTAAAAAAAAGAATATAAAATTTCGGATTGAGGATATACGAAAACATGATATGAGAGCAAAACATAGAAAGTGAAACATTAGGATTCGACTGATATTATTGAATATAAGTGCAATGTCGCATTAGGCCATTCATTGGCCATGCCCTATGCCTAATTGCCTAAATTCAGCAACAGTTTCCTAATTTCCTTATAAGTTATTTGACTTGATTTGCCTTCATTGTGCTTGAGATATATGCAAGGATGTCAGTTTCATCGGTTGAAATGTAAAATAAAAAATTAAAGCTTTATAGTTACTAATGATTCAGCTAATGAACCTATCCAATTTGTATCAATATTCTGCTTCTTTAATTACTTTTTACTTTTTTTTTTTATTTTCAACGCTTTTATCTTTAATGAAATTGATATAACACCAACCATAAAAGAATATTCAACTTTGCTAGACATGCATTTTCAACATCCACACTTAATATATACTAAGAAGCAAAAACCATAATATGACAATAAATATGGACCATATCTTGGAAGTTGATAAGATGATGGTAAATTTACATGTTAAGGAAAAATGAGTGCATAAAGGTTTTGTTTTCATTAAAGAGTCGTTATGAGTTGTTTTGAATCAAGTATATATTGTAAGCTAATTATATAGAGTAATGAGATAAAACTAAAAAGGTAAAACTAATTGAATGAGATAGCCATCTTAATTTTTAATATTATCGATATCAATTTTATAAATTAATTTTATCTGATTTGAATCGAAATCAATATTTTTATAAAATCTCTAAATTAACAATATCAAAGGAAGTAAATACCCACATGTAGACATATGGTGTTAATTAAAGCTAAGAAAGGGACAATTCAAACCAATTAAAGTAAAGTTTATGTATGTTTTTATAAATATAAGTTACATCAAATTGCATGCAATCTAATTATCAATTAAGTCAATGATAAGTACATTTATTTTTTAATCTTTTTGTTTTAGGCCATTAGATCATTGGCACACTACTTTTATAAACCCATATGAGAGGTTTCATATCATCACCTTAATAAGATCTTTAGATCATGTATGGTATATAAGATTATGATAAAATAAAATAAGATAATATTATAAATAGAATTAAATTAAATAATATCATCCTATTTTATATTTGATATATGTAAGAATTAAGATAAGATAATTTATTTATTTATCAAAATTATCTTTCTTAAAGTTTATATAATTTAAATTATTAATATAATTTTTAATAATATAATTAGACACGTAAATTTAATCTCATGAATTAAAAATAATTTTTTTTACTTGAAGATAATTAAATAATCATATGTCAAAAGGATATTAATCCTCATTTCAATTCATATCCCTCTCTTTGGATATAAATAAAATAAAATATAAAATAATAATTATTATATCTTATTAATAATTCTATTTACCAAATATGATCTTAATTTTTTAAAGATACGTTAGAATAGAATGGGCCTTCTAAATTTTCTGTTTGGGGTTAAGTCCGTTTTCTTTATGGGCCTAAACTAAAAAAATGGGCCACCAAAATTCATTCGAAGTGTTTCTTAGGGTTTAAGTTGCGATTAAGAATCGAAGCACCGCCTCAGGCGATTTAGATTTTACTTACTAGATTAGATCCCCAACTTAGATACCAAATGCACGCGCTCAGATTATTCGCTTCACTCGCGCGTGCTGCTGCCAACTCAACTCAACTAAAAAAAAGACAAAAAGACTTGAAACTTGGAGTCAAACTCAACTCACGGCAAAACAATCTCGCCTGAAAAAAGGAACAAAAAGGAAAGAGTTTCAACGGTAACTGAAAATTTGGTCTAACTGTTAGCAGAAAGCGCACCAAATTCTTTAGTTTTGCTCCTCATTCTTCCCCCAGGTCATTTCTTTTTTTCCTTTTTTTTTTCCATTATATTTCTTAATTTTATGTGTTTTACGTCAATTTTGAATTATGTTTATCATGAATTAGGTCACAAAAAGTTTAAATTCTGGTGTTATTTACCCAATTTGGAATTTTCTTCTCCGGCCAAAAAATTCAGTTCAATTTGCATTAGATTTCTTCGTTGTTCTTTTTTTTTTTTTTTTTTCCCAATTTTCAGCTACTAATTCATTGAATATTAAGGATAATTCGGTGGAGAATTTTAATTTTCGTGATGGGTTTGCTTAATTTCCCTTTAAATTAAAACCCTTCAAGTAACAGGAAAAAGAAATGGATTTTTTCAATTATAAAATAGATTTTACTGATGCATTGTTTACTCAGTCATAGCATGTTGGTTGATTTTGATGTTTTAACTTGGTTTAGCAGGAAGAGCTAAGTTTGTGATAAGACTACTGCTAATTGAGCTTGGCTTGTTTAGTTTTCGTTGTAGTGATGGCGAAATTGCTGCACGTGGATTCCAGATGTGCAGCTAGCATGTGTTTGTTGGAGCAGCCAGATTCATCTACACGCAAGTGGTACTTCAGCAGAGAAGAAATTGAGAATTGTTCTCCATCTAGGAAGGATGGAATCGACCTTGGAAGAGAGGAGCAGTTGCGGAAGTTGTATTGTTCATTTATTGAAGAGCTTGGGATGAAGCTTAAAGTGTAAGTGCATGGACTATGTCCAGTTTGCAGTAGTCTACTCTGACATGGTGAAAAGTTAGTCATTTTCATCGCATATCACCATTTAGTCCTTAGTTTTGCATTTTTTTAAGCTTTTATGCATTTCACTTTTGAAGCATTATCTTTAGTTTTGTGTTTTAGTATGTGAAACAGTTGCTTTTCTTGCTTCATACTCCTCGTCCATTCTATTAAAAAATAATAAACATGCCTTTAGAATATATGAGATATTGCTAGATTTAGATTCTTTAGAAATCCTCTCAACTGTCAATCTATACCTAATAACATAACTTCAACAATGGAATTATTTATGTTGCTATAGCGATCTATTTAATTTGACTGTTTTATATATTGTTTCAGATTCAGTTATTTCTGTACTAATATCTACATTCGATTTGCTTTTTCAGTGCATCACTTTAATTTCTCAAATATGGTTTATGTTTCATTATACTACTAGAAATGGTGATTGACAAGTTTACTTGCAGGCCTCAGGTGGCAATAGCATGTGCAATGATGCTGTGCCACCGGTTTTACATGCGCCAATCTCACACTAGGAATGATTGGCAGGTAGATGTTGCATTACTCTGTTTTAATGCTTACTTGCATCTTTCTCTTTTGAAATATAGAACTCTTAGTTTATGAGTATGGATGCTAATAGAGAATAGATTCACATGTAAAGTACTTTACGTGAGACCATTTATCAGCAAACAACTAGATTAACATTTAACTGCATTCTTTGGAAACAGAACATCAGTGATTTGATCTTAGAAATTAATGATTATACATATGATATTATTAAATACTATTATTTATTTTCTAATATTTATTATTATTTTTTCTGTCTGATAATTGTCTCATGGAAAACTTGGCTTTTCTTAACATAGGGAAAGTGGAAGTTGAGATGCTTTTAAATATTAAGTTGTTCAAATCTAGCTGGCTTGATTTTCTCATTTCTGGTGAATTGCGCAGACTATTGCAACTGTAAGCACATTTCTCGCATGCAAAATAGAGGAAACACCACGCTTGCTGCGGGATGTTATTGTCGTGGGCTATGAAATTATCTATAAATGGGATTCTTCTGCTCCAGGAAGAATCAGACAGAGAGTATGTGGATTTGCTGTGCTCAGCACAACTCCACAATTTCTCATTTTCATTCTTACCTAATTTTTTACCACTTTTTGGATGCAGGAAGTTTATGATAAGCAGAAGGAATTGATCTTGATTGGGGAGAGGCTTTTGTTGGCAGCAATTGCTTTTGATCTTGATATCCAACTCCCTTACAAGCCCCTTGTTGCAGCTGTTAAGAGATTGGAAATTTTTCCTAACCTCTTAAAAGTGGCGTGGAATTTCGTGAATGATTGGTGAGGACTTGTTCATTCTAGTTAAAACTAATTATATTTATTCTATTTTTTACTTAAATTTTAGATCAGTTTTTTGTGTCTTTACGATATTAAATAATTTCATGAATGGAACTGGCAGGCTTCGTACAACCTTGTGCTTGCAATACAAACCCCATTATATTGCTGCTGGTTCCATGTATCTTGCTGCTAAATTTCAAAAAGTAAAGCTGCCAATGGAGAAGGGAAAAGTATGGTGGTTGGAATTTGATATTTCACCTAATCAATTACAAGGTTTGAACTACAGATATCTTTTAGTCTATTTATATGTATCTGCTTTAAGTCGTACTCATGGTCGTTATATTCTTAATGAACTGGGAGTATGCTGGATAATTAAAAAGGTGGGTGAGGTTCTAATTTACTCCCCACACTTTGAAAGTGGTAGACATTGATCATGCTGAACTTCCTTGTTTCAAATCACCTGCATTAACCTTAACAGATGTTTTTCTTCTTATGGAATAAATATGAATGATGCAAATTAATTGCAATGTTTCTCTAAAATATCATGCATGGTGGTTCTTAACTTTTTTTTTTTTATTTTTTTTATTTTTAACTGGGGATGATTATTTTCATTGCTTTGATGTTGCTTAACTATTGTGGTTCAAAATAAGAACTTTACCGCAAAATTTTTCAGAGGTCACTCAGCTGATGGTCAGGTTGTTAGAGCAAGACAAAAAACGAGGTTTATCATCAAGACATGAGAGGGCCAATCAATCTGTTGCTTTAGCTGGCAAGGCAATGATCAGTGGCACGCAATCATGCACTTTGAATGCACCAGTGGCCAAGGGTCAGTCTGGTGCTGGAGCTGAGAATAGCAAACTTAGCAAATCTACGGACAGTTTTGCCAGCCAAGTTAGTATGAAAGAAGTTTTCCCATATCAGACAAGTAATAGTGGTGCAAGTAGTGTTGTTGAGGATGGCAATGATAAGGGTAAGCCAAGAACAGAGGTGTCTGACCAGAACCCAAGTTTTGAGCTTGTTTCATCTCTGGCCTGTGGCAACAAACAAGACGGTGCAAAAGAAAGTTTACCATGTCAAACCAGTGATAGTGGTGCGAGTACTGTTGTTGACAATGGTGAAGGCGAGTGTGAGTTAAGAATAGAGCAGTCTGATCTGAACCCAAGCGTTAAGATTGTATCTGTTCATAATACCTTTAGTAAGAGTGATGCTGACCGGATTAGAGAGACCTTGAAGAGGAGGAGATGTGATAGAGCTGCAAATTTGAAGTACGTGGAAGGCAGAGATGACGAGGTAGATAGTGAAGCCTGGATAGAGAGAGAGCTGGAGATTGGAATAGAGCTGGAATCTGCCTCTTACCTGAAGCGAAGGAGGGCGTTCTGAGGTTTTGAACTTGAGAGAATAGTGCCTAGATACTCAGTAACCAGACATCTTTTTACCTCGTGCATCAAAGTGACCTTCCATTGGCACATTTATGGCATTACAAGAAAGACTATATGAATCTTGTTGACTATATTATTTCCACGTTGTGGTATACAGTAGAATTATTCTCTGATTTTTGCAGTAGGTTGTATTTATATGTTAGATCATTGATGCAAGGATTGAAACCATTCTTTTGGGTTGAATTTGTAAATATACAGTTGACCTACAAATTATTAAGAAAAAAGATAAAGATTCATTGTTGATCACTCTTAGTGACTGTTGAATGGAAGGAAAAGAAATGGCTCCATTCCTAGAAAATCCAGCATCAGCATCTTCTCGTGTTGATTCATTTTAGTATATAGAAACTTCTCAATTCTCATGCTTTGGTCTAACGCTTGAGCACTTTGGAATAGATTAAGAGCGCAGAAGGATGGTCCAGAACTAAACTCTTTTATCTTCCCCGGAAGGTAAGCCCAGATGCTTTACCTCTTTCATGTAATTTGCTTTTAATCACTTGAGTAAGTGTATCAAACCCTGAAATCTCTCTTTGGCTCGTAATCTCAACTGCCCCTCATTCATTACATACCCGATTGTTGTACCAAGTAACAAGAAAGAAAAAAATTTTGTTCCTCTGCTTTTGGAATGATGTCAACTTAATTCTTTCATCCGAAAATATCTCATTTTTGTTGATAATTTTTTTGTTATATGCAAAACCTATACAACTACATGTATACATGTAAATATATATACGTATTTACTTATACGTACATTTTCATGAATATATACGAAAAGTTTTACGGCAAGAATCTAATGATTTCACTTGATTGGATTGTGTTTATTTTAAGATTTAGTATTACGTTTAATACAAGTCATTCGTAAAGAAGTGGTGGATTTGGCTTTTGAAATATATTGATGAGAAATTTTGTTTTCGACAACTTACTTTCTTTTCCCATGCATACTCACATACCCTTTTCAGCTTTTCCATCACATTTCTGGACGCATCTAACTTTTAATAATCTATCATACTAGCAACCAATGCAATCAGTAAGCCTTTAGTTTTGTTTTATTGTGTCTTTCTTCCTCTCTTATGGTACAATTATTCAAGGGGTTTTTTTTTTCTTTATCTCTTTCAATTTCTTTCTTTCTTTTCGATGGTCATATCATACAAAATTTGCATATTGTTGCATAATAAACGTCTTGGAAACTTTGTTCAAAATCTGCTTAGAAGCAAGAAGCAGAGAAACATTTAAGCACTTCCTTTCAAGTGGAGGGAGAGCTGGAGGGAGTGGAACCCCCCATTGCCTTGAAAAGCATGCACATAAAGCTCTTTACCCACCAAATTCTTCCTCCAAAGCCCCAGGCGTCAGCCATGTGGTTTTTTCTTCAACAGACTCAAGTCTCATAACCTGTCTTTTTACCCTGGAAAAAAATGTTGAAAGAAAAAGAATCTGGTCAAAACTGTCATATGTTTCATGTATATGATCCTTGAAAACCAAGCTTTTCTCTATATTTTTTGGGGCAAGGATCCATTTTTTTCTTTCTTTTTTGATTGTGTGGAGAACATGATCCATCAAGATTTCATATCAGAAGAACTAAAGATAAGCTTTGGTCAAATTGGCCTGTTCCTAGATGGAAACTGAATATGTATATGACATATCCCCAAAAAAAAAATTGTAAGCAAAAGTGTTTCAATCATTGGGCTGACTGGCTGAGTGTATCATCAAAGATAGCAAAAGTGTGGATAATATTTATATGTATGGGGCTAAGTGGGGTGATAAAATACAAAGCATTGGCCCCTTGTGTTGGATCTTTCATGGCGCCTTAGGCTTGAGAGAAAGCATATATTCTACTGTGACAATGCCTTTCTCTTCTTCTTAGACATACCTTTAAATCTTGCAAAAACTTTAGACCCCTTTTAAGGGCTTTCTGAATTTTTTGACTCAAAAAAGTTGGGGTAGTTATACATACATTCGATGCAAAAGCACAAGCAACAAATGAAGTTAAATAAATGAAATGGAAAAGGGGTGGAGGGTACCTTGCATATAATATGTAATAATGGTTGAAAATGATTTTAAGATTGATTTCTTTATTATAGTTTAAGGTGTGAAGATCTGCACTAAACTTGTAAAGTATTATTTGATTGAAAAATCTTACGGTTTTATCTCACAAAAAATATATCTTAGGTTTAAGTTTAGATCTATATATATATATCATATTATATTTACACATTCTTTCAATGTGGGATTGAAGGTATTATAGTTTCCCTACCTTTAAAGCTTGACGTCTTTGTCAAGTCGAGTTTAACTACAGGACCAAGATCACACTAGATTTTGAGATTCTAGAGGTGTTTCCCTACCGTATAGCATTTAGTGACTCTTACGGGCCCACTGTGTAGCACTTAGTGACTCTTATGATGAAGCACTTAGTTTTCACTGACTGGTGATTGATACAATTTGTGAAGACTCGCACTCAACTTGTAAAGTATTATCCGTTTTAACCCAAAAATCTGTCGATTTTATCCCACATTCAAAGCAAACTCTTACTTTACTAAGACATGGTGTAGAATAAAATCGATTGCAAAAATCACATTTTTCGAGCTTAGTATCAGATTTCATCCCTTATTTTTTACCTACATTTCCTCTTCTGGTGATTACTTTGATCTCCCTCAAACCTTAGGTGTTTCTTATCACCTCTCTCTTGCTCATATCTTTTTATATCTGACTCAATTTTCAATGTTTGCTATGACACATCTTTATAACTATCAATTATGTGAGAAGACAAATGAGATTGAATACTTGGCTTCAACCCGTGCTCAAATCATATCGCGTTATTCTTATTTGAGTCAATGATGCGAGTGCAGAAATGTCACAACTAGTTAAACTTGTTGGCATAATCTAGCACAGACATATCATGCTTTTGTTGTAACTACAGAAACTCATTCTCCTTTTCTGATTTCATTGAGTCTGGAAAATATTGATATAAGAAAATTTCTTTAAATTTTTCCCAAGTCAAAGGCTCAGCTGAATCTTTAAATATGAGTTTATAGTATCCTACCAATACTTAGCATTTTCTTTTAGTTGAATAACAGCCAAACTCAACTTCAAATCCTCAAAAATTCATATCACCTTAAAGAGTTTTTCCAACTCTTCAACCCAAACTTCTGCAGTCAAAGGATCAAGGCTACATTCAAATTGAGGTGGGTTAACCCTACGAAATCACTCATAAGTTGTCTCACGTTGTTATAGATTTTTTTTGTATCTACTAATGTTATTGAATCAAATTAAATACCACATGACACACTCCAGCTAAATCATATTGTGTCACAGGAGTATTAGGAACGTTTTCAATATTAATTTGCTCATCTCAAACATTGATAGTTTCAGATTCATTCCTTTTCTTATCAGTTCTTTTCATTTGACCAGCAAGATCTGTTAATATCTCATTTTTGCCACTCATTCTCACTTAAATTAGTACCAGCGAAAATAGTTCGTAAGCAATCAAAATGAAATAAACGAATCTTATTAACGTAAATGCTAATAATACTTAAGTTTTACACTAATTATAACTTGATTATTTTCTTTATCGGATCTTAAACTTTGGCTCTAATATTATTTGTGGAAACTCATATTATCTGTTTTAATTTGAAGATCTCACAGTTTTGTGTCATAAAAGACACCTCACAAGTTTAAATTTAAGCTTTTATATATATATATATATATCATATTCTATCTACATATTATTCTAATATGGGATTGAAAGTTACATAGGGCTTAAGATATAGGGTAAATACTGGTTAGACTTAAAAAAAGTCACCCAAAGAAGGAACAGCATTGGTGCATAAACCCTCCACCTTTTCTTCTCTGCTGCTTTTAAATATTTATCACTATTTTATTTCCCCATGCTTGATATTTGATTTTCTAAACATAGTTTCATAAGATTGAAAGCAGCTGAAGTCACAATATTTTATTTCCTTTAATCTTTCTGTTCAATAATCACTAATTAGTTACTATACAAAACTTTTAGAAAATAGTTTCAATGACTCATTGGGGACATGAATGAATGCAATGAGTCAATAAACATTTTCCTCAAACTTAGTAATCCATCATTAAATAGTGTCAGTGCTCGACCTTTTTTGTTTGATAAGAAAGAAAGAAAAAATTTAATGATTGAATTATAAAATAATATATGTTAAATATTTTTCTCTTGTTTCTATTCTTGTACTCCTAGTAAATAGTTTTGTTATCGAATTTCCTAACCTATAGGTACCAATTACTCGGAAAATTTCTTACAGATATATTCACTTTGTTTTATAGTACTAGCTAGTGCTTTTGGTTATCATTTTTAGCATCATGAAGGTGACCATAACAGCACTTTTTGCTTGTATCCAGCTCAACATTGAACATGAATGATCACTTGCATTGTTGCACACACACACGCAAACAAAAAAAACATGAATCTGCTTAATTATTGTAAGTTGGAAACTTTGAATCAACTTGCAAAGGGGAAACTTTTAACCGTAGGGTTAAAAGGAATGAGACTTGATTTTACTTTTATTATTATCATTATGTCTGTTCTTTTGAGTTCTGTTTTATTTTCATTTACGGGAAAGATCTCTATATGATTCATTCCTGCTCCTTTTCTAAAGCTAAATATCCTTACCCGCCACTGCCATCAAAGGTTATTTTTTTTAGTAAAATTTTTTTTGAATAAATAAATTATTCAGTCTGTAAATATCAATGTAAAATATATTATACCCAACGACTTAAAAATAATAGTTAGAGATTGTGTATTTAAAATGATCATAATAAGATATTACTGATTAGATTCGAACTCAAAATTTTTATGTCAAGATAAACAATTCTTATCAATTGAATCAACCTCTTGATGATCACCTAAGGTTAATTTACTCTTAATATATGACATCTAGAGTTGAGACTTAAGAGTGTGGCCAAATTAACTCAAGTTAATAAGCTGGAATATAATGGAAATACAACTACAAATTAATTAAGCAGATAATTATTGATTAACTGGCCACTTAAACATATAGACAGTATTTCACATCTTTTTTCAAAAGTTCATCATCAAAGTGAGAGTAAGAATTTGTTCAATATATATATACATTATTGTAATTGAAATGTATTTGAAATGATCTGATGTAGAAGCAGCTTTTATGAAATGAATCTTGGAAGATAGTGAAACTGGGAAATATGCAAAAGATCACAAGTAAACAAAGAAAAGCTCTCTTTCTCAGTTTCTCTCTCTCAATAAAGAAAAAAAGCTTTGGAGGAGGAAAGAAAGGAAAATAAAAAAAAAATAAAAAAAGGTTAAAAGAAAAGGCTTTAACAAAAAGTAGGGTTAAATAAACAAAGATATACAATATATACAAGTGATGGTTGGTGCAAGATGGGGTGGGCATGCTGAGAGAGAGTTAAAGACCAAAAGAGAAAGAGCAAAAAGCAAAGTTAAGCTTGGCCAATGCCCATACTCTGTCTCATCTCACATTCTCCCATCAACTTTTCAAGTGATGTCAACTTTTGTGGGGACTGATTAAATTATTATACTTCTTTGATGGAATAACAGCTTAATCAACACTTAATCTATACATCATAATTATTATTATTTACTATATATTGTAATAACCCTTTTCTCTCTTTTATCTTTTTCTCGTCTCCTTCTTCCCAAGCAGACAAAAGCACTTCCACATATTTGTTCATACTTTTACACCCTTGTATCAATATTCTGTCTTGCATTTAAAGATAAAAATAAAATTTTTTAAATAAAGTTACTGAAATTTTTTAAAAAATAATTTAATGAAAAATTTAAATCGAAAAATTAATAAAATTTAATGTAAAAATAAATAATAAAAATTTATTAAAAATATTTTTTATAATTCAAATTTAATTTATATTTATTCAACGGTAAAAATTTTATTAAAATTTTTGTTAAAAATTCTTATTTAAAAATTATAAAAAATTATTAAAATTTTTTCAAAATATGCTAATTTGATTTATGTAATAAAACCTTTCAATTTTTATTTTAATTTTAATAAAAAATTTTACGAATTTTACTTAATAAATTTCATCCAAATCTTTTCTTACATATTTAATTATTTAAATATGTAGTAGTAAATAATCAAGTTAATTTGATCATAAAGATAAGTAATTTTGTTAACCCTTGATCAAGTATACATAATAATACATGCCCACATGTGTATAAAAGTGAGCAAACCGAACAACCTGTACAAATATATAAATCTAATATAAAATCTATTCATGATTGAAATTGATGAATTTGGGGCTTTAAAATTCCGACCTTCTCTTTGCTTCTAAACTAAAACTTCATTGGTGTATTTAATAAATTAGAATATAATTAAATAATCAAACTACATATAATGAGATTTAAACCTAAAATCTCAAGATTCTATATCTATGATCATAATGAAATGGTGAGAATTTTATTAGTTCATTTATTATATATTAATAACCAAGAGATAATGAGAGCATATCATCTATAATTCTTTTTGTTATAATGCTATAATAGTCCAATGAAAATAAAAATTTATGTAGAGATCCACTAAATGTGAGTTTCATATAAAATTTTAATTAACCCTACATGATTTTAAATTATAATTAATCAATTATATTACGATAATTGTAAGTGATATGCTCTCACAGATAATATATTATCCCATAAATATAGTTGTAGGTACGTCAAAGGATATATATATATATATATATATATTTATATATATATATATATGATCAAATCATCAAATTGGATTTCAACCACACAAAAATTCATAAACGATAGTGAGAAAATGTGCAAAGTCCCCACCAGGATCCAGTAGTACAAAGTTCAAAACATATCTTCATGTCTAAAATGCTAAAGTAACCCAATATATATATATATATATATAGTTATATTGAAAGAAGGGATTACAATGTGCAAAACTTGAGAATATCTTTGAATGTATTATTCTAAAAATTAATAAGTTTTTATGTCTTTGTACTAAGTAATATATTTCAGGGCTAGTTAGGTACTTTTTCTTGTTACCAATCACAACGCAAGAGACACAAAAAATCAGTTAAGGTGTCTCAATCGTGTTATTGATGAAAAAAGTAAAAGATATCATATTCCACTGGACAGTGTTGGAGAAATATATTGTGCACTGTATAGACTATAGAGCCCAGCCTGATTCCTGATTTTATAAATGGCTAGGTAACAATAGAAGCAAGAGAAAAAAAAGAGAGAGGGAGAGAGCATGGTTGCTATCATTTCTCTTATCGGAACCTTGTTGAAAGTCTTGGGATTGAAGGCAGGGATCTTAATCATAGCTTTGGGGCAGCATTAATCATCTTCCTGTAATTGCAGTGAGTGCATTAAAGCATTTTAACATAGATAGATGATAGAGAGAGAGAGAGAGAGAGAGAGAGAGAAGAGAGTTTTTTTTTTTTTTAAGCAAAATCTTATATTGAGGGATAGCTGCAAAAAAGTTTGCCTGAAAAGAAAAATAAATAATTAAAGTCAGAGAGAGGGGTATGGAGAAGGATTATTCAAGCTCTTTTTCTTTCTTCTCAAGACTACTTTATGATGGAAACTTGAAAGAGTAAAGAGGAAAAACTGAGAAAAGTTGCTTAGTTAAAAGCAACAAGGTATGTGGGTGTCACCTGAACTGTTTTCTTTGATTAGAGTGAGAAATTCCTGGAGCAAGCTGGTTTGTAAATTTTAATTACTCAATCTTGGGATTTTCAAGCCCTTTTGCTTGAAAAAAAAACAGAAAGTAACATTATGGAGTCTGAAAATGTTCATCACCAACGCCAGCTCCAAGACCAGCTTGCTGGGTCTTCTTCTTTACCTATTCCACCCTGTTATGGAGTTGCAAGCACCCATTCTTGGACCCCAACCCCAAGTAATATCACTTTGTAAGTCTCCTCCTCCTCCTCTCTCTCTCTAATTAAGCTTTCTACAAATATTTGGCCCTTCACACAGTTCACAGGCCATCATGAATTTACTTTAACTCCGGAATCTCTCTCCTTTTGTTTTTCCTTATCTTTTCTTTTCTGATTTGATGTGCATCAATCAGAATTATGTAGTTAATATTTACTTGTTAGATTTTGTTGATTATCATTTGATTTTCATGTATTGTCTTTGGATTCCTACAACTTGTGGGTTCACAAAGTACAGTGTATCACATTCCAATCTTTTAATTGCTTCCCGTATCCTGCACTGGCATGTTCCTTTTTCCCTTCATTGATTTATCCACCTTGATAATCTGGATTTCATTATAGCAAATTTATACCTTTTGTTTGTTTTTTTGCAGGAACACCAGTGAGTTCAATCCAAATTATAATGGGGTTATCTTACACTCAAGGCAGAAAAATGACATTTTAGCATCTCCTCATAATAGTTCCGTGCTCCAAGACTGGACTAACAATGAAGGCAGCTTCACCACCCTTTGTTTCCATGACCTACAACTTGACAAAACTAAGGAAGAGCTCTCAGAATCTCTCACAAGATTCACTGAAATGCTAAGCAACACTCCAAGCGTGGAAGACTCTCTTCATCTGCCTCCTACAAACTACTTAAGGAATGAGCAAAAAGATTTGCATGATCTCAGCGAGAAGCTGTTGCTTAAAACAATATCTTCTGGTTTTCCAATGTTTTCAGCAGGATCAGAATTTTACTCAACCATCCGGAATTGTTTTATCCCTGGTAGTACTTCTTTACCAAGTAGAGGGAATTTCAGCCAGATATATCCTAGTATAAATATTTCAAATTTGAACCAAGCATCTTCCCCCAATATCCCAAACTCCTTTGACATGAATTTGGAGGCCTTGGATCTCTTAAGTCCTGCAAGATTTAGCAGCAGAAGCGATTTTAGCCATCCTTCACATGATCATAACAGTCTTGGTGTATACAAAGAGAGCTCTTCTTTTGGTCGTCATCATCACCATTTTCAGCAGCCAAATCAGAGGCCAGCTTGTAGCCCTAGTAAAGTAAAGTGCTCTATTCTTTCTTGTAGCAAAATAATCATCTCTACCACAAACCATGCCTCAAGTACAAGCTTTATTGCCAGTATAATTGCAACACTGCACGGTCATGGCTCTGATAGCACTGCATGCAATATTTATTTATTTTTGTCCCATTGAACTTGTATCACGAAATGCAATAATCTTGTCAGCTCGTAGTATAAAAATTCATTCTGGTCATAATATTGTTTGAAAATCATTAAGCTAAAGTTCCTTGTTTATCCATCTTATACCTTGATTAACACAAACAATAAGCAGGAGAATATGATTATACTCAAGTACTTTCTTAAATGACTAAGTTGAAAGTTGAAGACCTTTATTCATAAGATTTTTTTTTTCTTGTTCAAAGATAAGCCCACTAAAAGAAATATGTTGCCTTCTGATCTTTTACTAAGCGAGGAGGTACCTTCAGCTTTAATCGTTTGTATGCATATATCGTTACCATAACTTCATGCCTCTTTTTTTAACTGCTTTTTGATGATTATTCAACTAATGATCTTTACTCCTTCCACTTTCAAAGAAATCACCCTTCCCCACAGAAATAACAGAGGCAAAGAGACCGAGCAATTTACCAGAAGCAAAGCCAACAGCAGGTGCAGCAGCCAAGAAATCTCGTTTGCAACCACTCTCTTCCTGCCCTCCCTTTAAGGTGCCCAAAGGACCAATGAAATTTGAGTTTGAGCACATAATTATTAGCTCATGATTAATTTTTGTGGTAGCTAACTTTCAAAGACCAGGTTGTAAATGTTACGGTTTCGAATCTTATATTATTAGCTTTGCATCAAACAGGTCAGGAAAGAGAAATTGGGAGATAGAATTGCAGCTCTCCAAGAATTGGTTGCTCCTTTTGGCAAGGTAAATTCTAGGAGCTTTTTTTTTTTTTAATTTAATCAGTAAAAAAGTTACAATTTATTTTTACTGATGAGATTTTTTAATTTAGCAATTTTAATTTATTTATTTTTAATAAAAAATTTTAATTTTCACCCGTAAACTTAAGAGTTTTGGTTATTACTGTTACTAATAAAAAAAAAGAGAGAAAGGCTGGAAACCAAAAACAAAACAAAAGAATGAGAGATTATATATTAATTTAAGGTTTTTGCAGACAGACACAGCGTCCGTACTAATGGAGGCTATTGGATACATCAAATTCCTTCAAAATCAAGTCGAGGTACTGTCAGTTCCCAAACATTCTCCTTGAATTTTGCATTGCTTTTTATTATTATATTCTCTGACACATATTCTTAAAATGTTGCTGCTACCGCTGCTACCTCGAACGTGAGACCCATCGTTCGGTTATGGTTGCAAGCCTCAACTTGCTTCCAGAAGTTAACCCTAAACACTCAAGCAAACTATACCAAGGTTTTTCCCTAGGGCTTCCTTGTAGGGGTTTTACATATTTTCTGTTCCCTTAAGGTATACCTAGTCTTTTCACCTGTCTTCCTCTCAAGTCTAGTTTTAAGCCATTGATTATTTTATTCATCCCATTGATGATTGAACAACAATTTCATAGAACTTACACTTAAAAAAAAAAAAAACCAGTTGCAGACAGCTCAGAATTCGTATGGGATTTTGTCTTTTCAATTCTCAAAGGAAAGGCCTCTAGCCATAATTAATTTCCAACAGTTTCTTACTCCATGTCCTGCAGCCTAGCTAGCAGGAGAGCTCAAATGAGCTTTCTTTGGATTGAGTTAAAGAAATTAAAGACTTGGCGATACTCATTGAGAATCAATTAATTTTGCATGAATATATGTATTAATTTTTCTTTTTGCAGACATTAAGCGTTCCATATATGAAGTCATCTCGGAATAAAACATCCAGACTGAAACAAGGGGTAAGAAAAACCAAACTATATTGCCAATAGAAAATAACTTGTTTCATGTCATTTAATGAATTTAGAGAGCTTTGGTTTCGGGAAACATGGGGAATCCAATCACTTCAATTACTATACTTTTAAGTTTTAACGTTGAAAATTCTTGTAATATTGATATTTAGGGTTCAAGGATGGAGGATGGAAATGAAGAAGAACAAAGGCGAGATCTCAGAAGCCGAGGTCTATGTCTAGTGCCATTGTCGTGCATGTCTTACGTGACTAACGACAGCGGTGGCGGCATTTGGCCACCGCCCAATCTAGGCAGAGGACCTTAACAACAACTGCATACTAGCTAGTTACCAATGAGGGGATAATAAAATACGGATTATTTTCTAAGCCCATATGTTGGCTAGGAGATAATAAATTCTAGCTTGGTTTCAATGGAACAAATTTGATCATCTTGTTAAATTTACAAGATTCCAGGATGGACCAAATTTGATCCATTAACAACATTAATTCTTAAAATTTTTAACTTTTAAAATTTATATAGTTTGTACTTCTTCAAAGAATTTCTTTCCAATTTGAATTAATTAAGATGATTAATATAATTATCTTTGTTTATCTTTACTTTTGATGTAATTATTTTTAAGGTGACATCGAAAGATTCAAGATTAAACAAGCATTTGATTAGGGTAAAGATTCTTTTCATCACTTCATCCCAAATTTGAATTAATGCACATTAAAAAACTCTTTCTATCCCATTTTCTTTGTCCACCTTTTTTTTTTTTTTGAAAATTTTCAAAATTATATCTTTTTTCTATTTTTATCACCTAAAATCTTATTTTTTATATTTTAAAATTATTTTTTATGATTTTTTTTTATTTTTTGACATTAAAAATCATGAAATTTTAATTTTAATATTAAATATATTAAAATAAAAAAAAAATTTTAAACTTGATGAATTCAATACCGTCCAAATAATTTAGAGTGGAGAGAGTAATTAAAAATGCATTCGAATTAAAATTGATGCTAAATTTTGAACGTGAATTTTAAATTTTAGGATTCAATAATGCATGACAATGTCTGTGTTTTGGATTGGTTTGGGAGTTGGGTTAGCACTGTTGTAAGAAGCCCAAATATCCCAAATAGGGCGAAAATTTGGTCCATCCTAATGCAATGCTGGATTAAATTCTTAATTCGGAAGCCCACAGCCTAATCTTTTTGACCCAGTACCATAAAATTATTTCATAAAAATGTTAGCATTTCTATAATATGTATGCTGCAAGAATCCAAAAGATGAAGTCAATGTCAATCAGTCAATTCATCTTACGATTTGAACAAAAACTTTGCTGTACATTCATATTTGTTGCAGCAAAATCTGAATATGAAACAAAATCAACCCATCTGGAGATTTGATCTATGGCAATTTCATATCTGGGTTTTCAAGGAGACTTGGTGATACCACTCGCCTGAACTATATAGCTCATAAAAGATGGCTTGCATGCTGCCGCTACCTTTAAACTTTCTAATATAATTGTGGAAATTAACCTAATGACTATCTTATGAATTCTTGTTTTATGTAAATTATTTCTTGAATCGGATATATCATTAAAGTTAGTACTCAAACGTTAAAATTTTGAATAAATTTATATTTATAATATTTTATTTAATCAGATAAATAATAAAGTATAAAATTTAAGGTAAATCAATTTTTTTCAAATATCATTTATCCATGTTTATTGGATGATTGCAGATGTCTTATGAATAAGTTCCAACGGTTAAGAATACATTTGGTGAAGGAAATTATTGTGCTGATTTACTTGCTAAATTTAATGTCATTCAATGAAAGAATTTTTTTTGTCTTTAGAACTGCAACGAAATCCATTACGTTGACTGATTTTTTTTTTTTTTGTTACATCACGAGAGTAAAGTCTTTAGTATAAATAAGGAAGAAGAAAAAAATCTGATTCGAAATTAAATTCTTAATATTTTCTCAAATATTTTTAATCATTAAGTCAAAAATTTAGGAACATATTGACTGGTTTAGTTTCATATGAAAGTGTTTTTTGGTTTTTAAAAAATGTTTTTAATGTAATTTTAATACTAAATAATAAAAATTATAGTTTTTTTTATTTAATTCTTGTTCAAAGAATAAAATTTTTTAAAAGAATTTCTTTTGCTTTCAAATGTAATTTTTTTAATCAAATGACTTTATTTGGTTATATCTTTAAATTTTTCTTTTTTATGTATATTTTTTAGATATTTCAATTCATTCTACTATTTTTTTATAGTAATGTTAAACACTTACAAAATTTTATATCATATTTTTTTTCATTACACTTTTAAATATATTTTTTAATCCAAATCCTTCTTTCATGAAAAAAACATGTAACTTAAAAATAAAAATAAAAATATTTAAATTTAAATTTTAAATATAATTATATAAATTAATTAAATTTCAAACATAAAACATTAAAATTGACAAAATTTTCCGTTATTGGAATCTAAGGGCCAATGACCCAAACGATGTAAATTAATTTCTTTATTGATCTCTTCTTTCTGACAAAATAAAAAAGACCATCATCCCAAATGAAAATGGCAGTTATGCAATGTGTCGACGCATTGACCCTCTTGTCTTGTGCTAATTAATGAAAATTCTTTTTGTGAGCTTTGATATCTCGAGGAAGAGGCCCAGAAATTTGATATTTTTAGGAGGTAAGAAGGACACAGCCTTAGCCAGATCGTACGAAAAAAGGTTTTACACGTGGCGCTCATCTACAACCTTGATATTTTCGGCCGCAGACTTAAACTGCTAATTTTGACGTCACCGTGACAGCCAGGCTCAACTCTTTTTTGTCCTTTCTTTCTGAATCCCATTTTTAACCTTCTATTCATCATTAAATGACAAAAATGTTCAGAGTTATCTTATTTTTTATACATAAAATTATAATAAAATAAAATAAAATTATAAATAAAATTAAATTAAATAATATTATTTTATCTTATATTTAATGTGTATAAAAATTAAAATAAAATAAATATTTATAGATTAAAATTATTTTTACTCAAAATTTATATAATTTAAATTATTAACATAATTTTTAAAAATATAATAAAATAATAAATTTAATTTCATAGATTTAAAATATTTTTTACTTTAATTCTCCATTTTGGGCCATATTTGATAATATACACATAAATAGGCTATGTTTAAAATTACTAAAATTCCATTTGATAAAAAATAAAAGTGAAATTATGGAATTAAAATTAACATTATAATTTTATTTATATTCAAAGAAAAATTTAATTTTTTATTCGAATAAAAATAAGTATTACATAATAAAAAAGGAGATAAATAAATCTAAATTTTTTATTGATACAAAATAAAACAATAAAATAGCATTGGTCTTATATCCATATCCATACTTTATGTATATATTTATATATTTAATAAATAAATTTTTATTAAATAATATAAATTATTATTTTAGACTAATTAAAACTAATATATTATAAAAATTACATAAATATGTAAGACAAAAATTTTAAAAAATAAAAAATAAAAAATAATTTTAATTTTTAATTTTTAATTTTTTTAAATGTTACGTGTACAAAGATACTTACTAAATAACTATGAAAATAAAAATAAAAATATATTTAAAATATTTATTAAATATAAGTATAAAAATAAATACAACATAAAAATTTTAAGATAAAAATAAAAATATTACATCATACTCTATTCATTAACAATCTCTCATTAAAAATACGGATAAGTAAGAAAATAGGCAGCAGGGATAGAAGCGTAATTTGAAAAAGAGTTTCGGATGTGAATAAAAGGCGTAGATTCAATGCGGTAGGGTACATTTTACAAAAAGAGGAACTCGTATGTTCTGCTCGTCTCTCATTCTATAATCTGATCGCCACCTGGACCTTGTCGGTTCTTTGCTTAGTCTCCAAGCTCTTTTCTCTCGTCATTTCCTTAGATCTTCAAAAAGCTTCTTCATATTCCACATATTATTAATCATTCAAGACCTTCCTTCAACTTCCGAAGATTCTCGAGAAATTTGCTCTGATCGCTTATCAAAACGGATCTTTGATTTTTGATCTGAATAGTTATAATACTGCCTGTTTTGTAAACCTTTTCAGGTATCGATTCTACTTTAACTTGTTTTTGGGTCATGGGATCATCCATCTTCTTTAATATAAACAATTGTTAGTTCTTTTTATTTTTTATTTTATTTCTAAATTGGCAGCTTAAGTAAAAAAATAAAATAAAATTAAACTGCAAATTTCCTTTTATATATTTTCTCACGAGGAAATTACAACTTATAAATATCTGACATTTGACATGGAAGGGTAGGTGGTGAAAGAGGAAAGATGGTTTCGTTGCAAGGACCGGTGATTTGCACTGCCGTTCGGAGCAAACAAGTTGGGGTTTACGCGCTGCCTGTGAACGGGCCTTTTCCGAGGGTAAGAATGCATAGAAGTGATATATGGGGATTTAGAGTGGTAACTGATGGAAAGAATAAGGCGCGTGCTGTTTCTCGTCAACTACGAAAGTGCTGGACCACGGTGCAGTGTAGTTTCAGTTCATCTTCAGATGGGAATGGAAGCATGGCGGAGAGTTTCAATGAAAACGATCAAGATTATGTCAATTCCAGTGTGGTTGAAGCTGGTATGTGGATGCTATGCCAGTAACTACTTCGTTATTATTATAATTATTATTGCTGCCTTTAAATTCGATATAAGCTCGAGTCTATTTGTATAGAATTGTTGATATGTGGGTTAATCAACTGATGTATTTCATAATTGTTTCATATAGTTGAGGTGAGGAGTAGAGCTGATGGATTTATGATCAAAATGAGGGATGGTAGGCATTTAAGATGTGTCAATAACAATCCTCAAGGTGGGCAACTGCCGGATTATGCACCGCGTCCTGCCATAGTTCTGAAGATGGAAGATGGGACTGGTCTTCTTCTCCCAATCCTTGTTTGTATGCGATCTTACATGATTCCAATTATTTGGCTCTATTTATTACTTTTTCCATTCATGTTTGATTGGAATTGTGGTTTTAAATGCAGTGGAGATGCATAGTGTGTTGCTCATGGCTGCAGTGCGCAATGTCCAAATTGTATGTTATTGTTTTCTCTCCCCCATTGAGTCAGGGTTCTCGTTTTCCTGGCATTTTGGATCTATTGAAATTGGATTTTGGACTTCTTCATCACTTTCTTTTGTATCAAATGTGAATGCTAATATATGTTTTGGCTATTGATTCCAGGCTAGTCCTCCTATGTATCAAGTGGTGAAGGACATAATTGACAAGATGGGCTACTTGGTATGATTCCTTTCCTGCTCCAGTTCACATTTTGTTTTCATAATGCCACTATGATTACTAGATGCTGCCATCTCCATCTTTTTGACGTGTCTTTGCTCCTTTGAGATGTGGGTTATGAATTTGTGATATCAATCTCGTTCTTCCACAGGTAAAACTTGTCAGAGTTACTAAAAGAGTGCATGTGGCCTATTTTGCTCAGTTGTACCTCACAAAGGTATGTATCTACTTCAGGGGCGGACTTCTCTTCACTGCCTCTCATTCTCTCTCACTCCTTCCACTTTTAGCGCATTTGTCTAACTTGAACTCTGGGATATTCATGTAGAGTAGTCTTCACTGACTCATGTTGGATGTTCTCACAGGTGGGTGATGAAACAGAGTCTGTCAGTTTTGACATTCGGCCTTCTGATGCCATCAACATTGCTGTGACATGCAAGGTACCCTTTGCATGTTCTTCTTTAGCATGATTCCTTTTTTAACTAAACAGTCTTTGGAGCATTTGACTGGTAGCATTAAAGTATCTCAATTATAATTGTTTTAGAATTGTATCTGCTTGGTTCATGAAGTACTACATCTATCATGAGAATGTCTAAGATGGATACTTGGATGGTCCTTGTTGAAGCATATTAACATATTTAAATAGTGATTGTTTTGACATGATGCTTTAAATTCTTGCTAGATGGTATCTTCCAACAGCTAAAATGTATAAGATGGTTAATAATGCTGATTGATGATTTCAAAGACTCAGTGTTGAGGAGAAAGAATACCTAAGATATGGTTTTGGATTGTCACAAATATCTATTTCAGTTTAATGATTAAGTTCTAAGGATAACTCAGAATATGTTAGGACATTGTTCAAATTTCTTCCCCCTTCATTTAAGTACTGTATTACCTTGCAAAGTGGTAATGATCCTGGAAAATTGGCTTTCTCATTGTTTTTAATAATATGATGGCAGAAATGCTTTATCCTTTGTAGAGAAGCATTCCAGTGGCTGTCTATGCGTTTGACATGACCTCACCTTGTTTGTCTCTTCTCTCTCTTTTTTTCTTTTTTTGAGCCACCTGAACTAGATTGTTTTGTGAGATATGGTTTAAACATAATTTGTCATGTAACTATTTTTGTGTGTACTTTCTGGGCTGACTTAATTCCTATCCAAAAGTGAGTTTTTCAGACCTTGAAGCCTACCTCATGTGCTCTGCAGGTACCTATACAAGTGAACAAGTACTTGGCATATAGTGATGGGATGCGAGTGATTGAATCAGGGAAGCTGTCAATGCAATCCTCAGCTTCAGATGGCTTATTAATCACAGAACTCGACTGGTTACTCTTGAAACCCTTTTGGAGATTGTTTTTGCTTTTTTAACAAGAGAATTGGACGTTAACACTTGCAGGAGATTCTTGTTCTGAATTTGAGAACTAGAATGTGACATGCTTTAAATTGTGGTCTCAGGCCAAGTGGTCAGCGTTGTATGGATACGGAGGAATTCAATATTATCTGTGAGTTAAATGAGGCTATTAATCAAGAACGCTACAAGGATGCTGGTACTCTTCCTTTCTTGCTCATTACTCATTTATGATCCATATTTCATTAGAATGTCAAAAACAGAACCTCTGACTAGAGTTGAGTTTTTTTTTACGTTGCTTCTCTAACTGACAGCTCTATCCTTGATACCTGGGATTATTTGATGAATTGCTATCCAATATAGGCTGTAGCCAATCTCTTTTACCAAGAGATTAACTCTTTATCTATAAATTGTGATCCAAAATGAAGTAAATTTTATTTGTTGACTGGAGATTAATTATGTCAAGGGCAAGATCTTAAGATCTTCTGAAATCTGTAGAGGAATGTGTAGTAAACGATAATTGTAGCATGACCTCCCTCATTTTTTTTTTCTCGTTAATATCTTATGAATCTGGTGCACACTGACAGCTGAATTGAGAGACAAACTTGGTCGGTTTCGGGCTCGAAGGAACTTGAGGAAATATACGTAACAGGTGATAATCTTGAAGGTTTCTGCTTTGGACTTCGAGCACCAGTGAATAGACATTAACAAGTTCTTTATTGTTGTGTCAGTTGTCCCTGCTGACTTCCACTGTAAATAGGAAGTTGTTGGAAGCTGATAAACTGGGTGGTGGCGCAACATAGAGCAGCAATCAGTCGTGTCAACTTCTAGCAAATATGTATGTGTAACAAGCCTGTGAATGTATGTACAGATACAGTTAAAAAAACGGTGATGCAATATATGTCTAAGGCACGTTGATTTTATGCTCGTCAATTTATCATCATTGCGGTGCTCATGTGTCTTGATTTTCCTTGTGCCCACCGAATTCCTTTTTTTTTCTGTCAAATCAGAACAATTTAATATGAAGGAGCTAGTAAAAGCGTAAAGATGAAAGAGATGTATAAAATTATATTTCTTTGTCAGTAATTGAACACCCAGAAAACCTGCCCCTAAAAGCAGAGAATAAGACAGTCTAAGGCACCGACAAAAATTCGTAACACGTCAGCAAAATGGGTCAAGGATAACTACACACGGCAACAAGTTATTACGCCACCTGTCGACTTCTCAAACACCACAAAACGTTTTCAAGGTCTGATTACTCTGTGATTAAACTTGCCTGATTTTCTGATCCCTTTCTTTTTTGGCTGTTGTCTCGTTTATGTTTTAAGCAATTTGATTTAATGTCTTCATGCAGATGATTGCCAATGGTTAATGCACTATTTTCCAGGCAGATTGTGACAGTTTCAAACAGCGAAGAAAGGGTAATTGCCTATGATAAGTCACGTTATCCTGTGGTATGGTTCACTAGATTGTCTTTCACAGTGCATATCATGCCTTCTCGGTTTTTGAGTTTTTTATTGTTAGAATTCAGGCATATTATCTAATTTTAGTTCTGCTTTATTTTCTTTTGTTTTTTCATCCTTGGTCAGATTAAGAGTAGTGACACATATGCAGCTGAGCCAGGATCTGAAGTGGAAGAAATTGCTTCTCTTAAAGACAACTAGAAGCTATTTACATCCAACATTGGCTCCTGTCAGCGAAGAGGTTGGTAGGTGCTTACAGATTGCGATGGGGGATTAAATGGCATAAAGGGATTTCATTAATTGCATGCCAGATTAACAGTTTAAAACATCAATTAACACCAGGATAGTTTTTTCGTCTATCCAAGAGTGTTTCACTTGCAAGTATATATGGGGATGCTTTGCTCGCGGTATAAAATAACAGGGTAACATCCTAAGATGGCTTAGTGGAAATATGCTTATAGTCTCACGCTATAAATTCTTAAAACTTGAACTCATAACAACAGACCATGATGTTTGTATAGTCTAGAATGGCTCGTAAGGCGATCTCTGCTGGTGGTTCGCCTGAGGATGATATGAATATGTGCCGATGATTGACAAGGTTGTAGACTCGGAATGTGAGATACAAGTGTCCAAGCAGAGTCCATATACTTCTAAAGGTTAGCACTATGAGCGGTGTTTAAAAGCTGTTTTTTACTCAACCAATGACAGTAGAAACTATTTGCGTACTTTGTGTTATCTCAACTATAATTTGTTCTTGTTTTTATTGCAACTTCTATTGCAGGATCATCCTGCAATTAAATATATGCTTAAAGCCAAATTTTAATTCCTTCTAAATGGTATTACAACCATTTATTTTTCATATTCTCATATAAGACATATGGTATTAAAGCCAAGGTTTATTGAGAGATAATTAATGTAATATCTCAATCTCACATTAGAATGTTCTAAAGATTAACTGTGATATATAAATTGATATTTAAACTCAAATTTGTAAGTCACATTTTTGTGAAACAAATTAATGAAATTTTTGAATTAAAGCAGATAATGTCTCATAGGTTGGCTACGGGTTTTTACGAATGGTATCAGAACGACTATCAGTCAAATTGGAGTTAAGTGCTATATTGTATAAGCTACTTTTATAATCTTATGAGAGCTAAATGCTATACAAGAGGAGTTACGTTTAGAATTTTAATATTTAATGTGATATTGTGATATGTTCATGCTTTGTGTTGAATTTATCCAACATTTGGTTTGATTTGGTAGATTTGTGTACTTTATGTTACATTTGACGGGATCCTCAAGTTTTAATGAAAAAAATTTATGATATCGTAATTTCATATTGGGATATTTTAAGAATCTGTTATGATATATAAGTTGAGACTTAAATCCAAATTTGTGAGACACTTTTTGTGAGATAAAATAATGAGACATTCATATCAAAACAGATAATATCTCACAAATTGGGTACGAATATTTACAATCAACATCCTAACACCCAAAATAAACAGACAAATTTAATCACATTATGAGCCATGAGAACAGTGTAATCAAACCAGAGCTTGACTCTTTCTTGCTATATTTTCAATATATTTGACTTTTTGATGAAGTCTACTGGCTTTAATTGCAAGGACTCCTCTGCCGCGGGTAGACCAAACTCCAAAAGGAATCTATGGTCATATCGGTTGCCTTCTCTTATCCGAACAATTGTGTTGTATCTGATGAAGAAGAGGATTGTAACGGATTTGACAAGTAGCATTCCTGACCAGCATGTTGAACTGATGTACTAGGAGGAAACTTGTCCACCTCCTGCTCCAAGGTTTATTGGGGCAGGCCTCCTGTCATCTGTGGTAAGAAGCCTGGGTGATCTAGAAGAGAAGGTTGAGATGCTACAATCAAAAAGATTTGAGATGCCTCATAAGAAAGAGTTGTTGAATGCTGCTGTTTGTCATATGGATGACTCAGAAGCAGAGTTTATACACGCTCTGCTGCTAATTGCATCCATTATACTGAAGACTTTCTGCAAGGTCTTTTGGCAGAGGATGATGTTTAGTTTTAATCAATAGATGATGTTTAAGACTGTTACGTCTAAGTTAATTGATCAATAATCAGAACTTGATCAATATAATTAGGTCCTCAGACCGTCCAAACGAAGTTTGCCCGAGTAGTCACATCACCTACTCTATAAAAATGACTCACCCTTCACCAATAGGATTTGCCTATGATCCACCAATGTTGTCAAAGTAATCACTTTAGAGTTGGTCTATTGGCACATAATTTACTTAGAATCATTAAATATAATCTATGCTTATTTGAGATTATTAAATACAAATTTTATTCATTCACGTGGATTCGAGCTTTATACAGATATTTTATCAATTGTCGACTATCTTAATTAAATCATCATCTTTTGTTTCACGTAAGAGATAAAAAAAATTAAGTACATAAAATATCACAGAACTAAGTCTATCATTCTCTTTCTAAGCTTTCTCTTACTTGAAGTTTCTTTTATACATTTCACTATTAACACACTTTACTTTTCACTCTTAATTTAAGCATCACACTAATTTGAACGTTGGAACGCACTTCAAAATAACAACTTCAATGCCTTACCATATTTTGTTACTGCAGGTTACGATTGTTTTTCCCTTTTTACCTATTTTCTTTCGGTTAAGATATTCAAAAACACTAAAAGCAAAAACATAAGATTTTTCTTTCAAGTGAAAGGTGATTGACTCGGACTCGAGTATGATAGAAATTGGCATCTTTTTCAAGACCAAGAGTTGGTTGTCATGTGCACCGGACACAAAATTAGCTTAGCTACACAGAATAATATGGCATTGCCGGCTTAAACCCGATTATTTAAGGTTTAATTAATTAAATAATTAGTTTAAAATGTTAAATAAGGAGCTGGTCTCTTTCCAAGAAGAAAAAAGGGATAGTTAGAGAGTTAATTATATATTAATATAGCTAGTTATGATATAAAGTGTATACAATTGATGGAAAGATTAAAGTTGTGATTAGGCAAACTGTTGCCTAATTTTTACCAGTCAATGTAAAATCGATGGCACGACCGAATAAGTCAAAAGTGATTTCTTGTGTCAATGAGATTGGTTGAGTTGATAAATATCAAATATTTTGTTTGTAAATTTTAGATGATTTTGCATCGTTGGTAGAGTTTGCTTGAATAACTACTTTACTGCAAATAAATGATGCATATAATGCAACCAAACGGTCAAAATGTTGCAAAAGTACATATAAAACATACAGGATAAGACTTTTAGCAACCCAAATTTGAAATAGAATTATTAATTAAAATCAATTTTTTTATAATTAAAGTTGATAAGGGTTTAAGTTTCAAAAGGTTCATTGATATTTTAAAACTCGAAATTTAATTTAATTAATTTATATTATTATTTTTAAAATAAAACATTATTAAAAATAAAATTGTTACAGTGTGTCATGGTTCTTCACCAAACAATCAACGGAAGTTTTAAGATTAAATGGTAAAATCTTTTCAACCCACAGTAGATGAACTCGCAAGAACAATTATTTTTTAATTCCATTATTTTTTTTCTCCCAATTATTCTAGTTAGCTAGCTATAGTATAGTTGTTAAACTTCAACCATTTTTTTTATTTAATTTTCACAACCTACCAACAAATTATAAGGTTTCGATAATTTTAATTCAAAAATTAGAATGATTAATATACAACATAGAAAAACAACAACATTAGAGACGTGTCGGTGCAGAAGAAGCATACCTCGTTGTAACATAACCTATTTAAAGTACAGCTCAATCATGACTTATGACACATGTGCTGGTTGATTTTTGCTAGCTATTTGATAATGTCTCAGAAAAACCATATCATCAAATATTAAATAATTAATTATATTGTACTATAATATTACCTCTTGCGCCATATTTTCATGAAAAAGAAAAAAAAAAAAAAGACACCATATTTTAGATATCATGTACCAACAAAAGGTTAGTCTAATAGCTAAGAATCGAAATTATTTTTTTCTTATCAATTAATATTTTATCTTTATTATGAATAATATTTCTAGAATATCAAATCAATACAAAATAATTACCCTTAAAATTATTAAGATACATATAAAATTTTAAAAAAATTTTAATGTCGATTGACGTAAATAATTAAAATTTATATTTTTAATAAAAAATATTTAAATTCGAATTCTTATGATTTTTTATTGATAGATAATTTATAAATCTGAAAAACTTTAAAGTGTATGTAAATCCCCTTTAAGTCTGAAAATTTTCAATAAATCTGTAAATCCTCTTGTAAAGTGATGACTCATCATGACTTTGAAAATATTATAATTTTTCATGTTTCTTCAAAAAAAAAAGAAAAGAAAATGTTTTTAACAAATTATAAATATATATATATGTGGCATTGTTTGGTTAAATACCATTTTGACAGATCCAGATCGCTAAGCTAAGACAACAAATGGATAGAAAATCTGCATAAAATAATTATAGGTTTTTTCTACATGCCATTGCCATACAACCTTGTACCACAATTGTACAGAGGCCGCCCCTTAATCTAAGGGCAAAGGACAGGGTTGCCAATTTTGACTCTCTCTATCATTTTTCACTTCTCTGTTCTGTCTTCCATTCCACGAATGGTTAAAGGCTGCCACACAAGCAGACTTGCCTTTTGGGTCTCACCATGCCAAAGAAGGATATGTACCGGAACTGGTTCCTGGCAGTCTGGTTATATCCAGTTTTGTAGTTCAATAATTACCCATATCTGGTTTCCCCAATAATAATATATTTTCCTGAAAAGAGGGGGGGGGGGGGGGGGACTTTTGATTCCAACAGAATCCATTGCCAACCCATAACAAATGTATACAAAAATCTTATTCTACTTATCATGATGTTGACTTGACCTATCAAATTATGTATTTTCTTCGTTTGTTTATAAACACCCTTTTTTTGTTGTCACCGACACATTGTAATCTAGCAGTCTGCCCCTAACCCGAGTCTCCTCTTTGTTTCTAATATATAATGACTTTAAAAGAACATTTAAATGACTTAATTTCTCACTGAAACCAAGATTTATAAAATTTAAAAGAACATTTGGTTCGGTAATTGATATGTAATTTTTTCGCTATTTCACAAAAAATACAAAGACCAAAGGGGTTCAGAGCTGAGAGTAGTTAAAAGAATATAAGAGAGGAGACTTTCATGGCTGCTGCCTGCTGATTACGAAGAGGCCCATTGAATGGTATAGAAAACTGAGAGTTCAAGTGGGTTTTATTCAGAAATTAAAGAAAAATAATGATGGGACCTCTTTGATCATATGACAGCTAGTGAGCAAGAGAAAAGAACTGGAAATGACAATCTTTGGAGACAGGGATATTATTGCTCTAATATGGAGACAAATATTATATTGTATAGTATTATATAAAATAATTTTTTCACTTTTTCATATTATAATCATATTATAATCATGTATTACTACTATTCCTATCAAAACATGAAAGTTACAAGCGGCCTGCTTTCAGAGAAATAAGGGTCTTCCATTTCCATGAAAACAGACGTTGTGTTTCTGTAATAAAGAAAGTTCACAGTCCAACAAAAATTATAGTATTGTCGTATTTTCAACGGTAGGGGTTTCCAATTCCTAAGGTTACTTAAACATACAGAAAATTCAAAAGACAAAAGTTTCAAAGACCCCAAATCATGGAAGCTCACAACAGCTAAGGATCAAATCAATTTTGCTCTTATTTTATCTGCATTTATAGTTTAATGGCACTAACAAAAAATAGATTGTTAAAAAAAATGTATAGTCAATTTGCTGGTAATGAATGGTATGATGAACAGATGAAATGAAGCAGATGGATGATCTTAGATAAAACAATCATGCTGAAATGTGGCATTCACAACATTTCTTTTTTTTTAGAAGAATTTACTTATGGATTGATTCAAGGACTCCCAGAAAATATGCCATTTGTACGGCACAAAAAAGTTCTGTCGAGGAGCAAATAATTGAGAAGTTTAATGTGTATATGTAAATCAGTTGGCGCTAGTGACAAGCTAATCGAGAAACAACAAAAGGGAAGGAAATGTTGGTGATGGGTGGCTAATAAACAAGGAAAACTCTTTATTTTTCCTTTTTGTTGCATAATTTTCATAACAAGTGGTAAATAGCAGGGTACTTCATTACAAAGAAGCCTACGTATAAATACAAAATAAAAGTACCCCACAAAATAGAAATACCCCACATCCCACAAGACCCTCAACACCACTCCAAAGGCAATGTTCCCTGTCACCACCGCCTAAACAACTATTGCCTCAACCTCAACTTCTCTTTTTCATCTCAATGGGTCCCTTAGTCAAGCACTGAAGGCCAAAAGAAAAAACCCTATGCTTTTTGTAAGATTAGATATAGCCTGGCAAGTAAATCAAGAATGCTTCCTGAATTATTGTACTGGCCTCGTTTCAGAATTTTCAACTTAATTGGTACTGATCAGTTCTAATCATGGACAAATAAGTTATTGTCTAAAACAAAGAAAAATCAGGAGGAAAAAGCTGGTGGTGGGAACCTTGTCTGGAATTGCAGTAAAATATCCTCTTTTTTGCTCTAGGAGTATCTAAAGTTCCTCAAAGCCCCCACTAGTTAGTGTAGGTAATGATGATAAACACAATTAAGATGGGATTATGACAAAGCTGCGTGGTTTATCGGTACAGGGCGTGCCTAAAGTAGAGCAAAAGTTATGGACTTTCCCCTGGAAGATTTCAAGCTTTTGGTAGTAAATTCATCTAAGATTCTAAATTATTACTCCAATCTGCAGGGCTAAAGTGCTCTTTAAATATAGACTACTGTAAACAAATGTTATAATAATCACAATAACAGTGTAATTTTCATGATTGGGTACTCATGAAGCAAACGCCCACCCTTTTTTGTGCTTTTGATGGATTTCATAACAGTTTACATTGTTTTCCTTTCATCATTGTACCTTTCGGTTTTTGGTATTGATTAGTGCAGAGAAAAAGAAACGGTCAAACATGAGTTAGAAGAAGAAGAAGAATCAAAACGGAAGTCGGTGGATAAGAAAATGATATAATTGACTGAAATCGGAATGCAAGTCTATGCTACAATCATGAACAATGAAAGCAATAGTAAATCGAAATAAAATTCAAATAACCTACAAAAGATTCCCCGAATCAAACTTGCACGAAGATGAAGATATATCTGAAGGATTTTGGCTCTAAAAATTGACATAGATGACAAGGGATCACAAGGATTTTCCCTTTGAAAGAACTAAATGTAAAAGGAAGTTTAGAAGAGTTGAAATGAATTCTCTTGTCGGAGGAAAAAAAAAACAACAGAAAAAGGAATAATCATATAGTTTCTTCTGTTTCTGAATAGGAAAACTCAGATATTCGAAAACTGTACCCAAACCAACTCAGCAGGACAAAATCAGGAAATTTATTGTCTCAGAAATCCTTTCATTGGAAGGCACTTTCATATTTGACCCAGACAAGAAAATAACCAGAATTGCACATGATTCAGAGTCAACTAATAAACCCGGCAAAGCAGAAAAACATTGATTCACAGAGCACTTAAACGAATGTCCAATTCAAAGATCAAGGAAAAAAAGGCAAAAAAAGACAAAAACAAAGAAATTAAAACAATAAAAAAAAAAAGCACAAGATCCCATAGATTATCTTAATGTTAATACTCCCACAAAACCAGGGAAATACTAGCACTGTACATATCAAACAAAATCGAGATAGATTTTTTTAACTTACTAATTTCATCTAGTATCCTAATTTTTAACCACAATAGGCATGCACTTTTCTTTCCTCCAAGTGCAATGGGCAGTGTTTTCTTGTATCAGAGTTTTCTTTGTTTCAGCAATGAAACTATCTACTTTCAACTGAAACTCTTCGTCGCTCATCTCATCCATGGATTTCCTCGGCGGCTCCCTACCTGAAATCATCAACTCTGTGCTGATAGCTGTCTCCGATCTCCGAAAGTCCCGGGGCCGTTGGTTTCGAGATTCTGAAACCATTGATCGAGTTGTTTGGTACTTCTTTTGCTTGACTTCAGTTGAAGAAGCTTCAGGCTTTGTTTTTGTCGCTGTACGGGTCGTCATAGGTTGTTTAACTGGTGAAAGGGAAATTTTTGTTTCTGTAACAGTATCAAGCACTGTCGTACGTTGCTGCTTTACTGAAGAAAGAGCAACCGCATTTTCTACCAGGATGATTGGTTTGTCCACCATGGACTCCTCCGTGGCCGGAGAGTTGGATGTGCCGACAGCGGACGTGGGTATACTCCGGCGAGAGCTAACGTACTCGTCGTAGAAGTCAGGGTTGGTGGTTTGTTTCTGGATCTGTTTTTGGCCAGACAAAACATAAACAGCAAGAATGATGATATTTACGACGATGAAAGTGAAAAGAGGCTTGTTAAAAGTGGAAACGAAACAGCGACGAAAATTCCCAGCAACCTCGACGGTGTCAGGAATCAACGTGGGGAACCAAGACCATAACACCAAAAACAAAGCCAACAAAAACCCAATTAAACGAAGACCAATCCTCAACTTCCTCTCCATGTTGTACCTCCATAGTGCATCTTGTTTCTCTGCCTTGACGTTATCAAATTCAAAGGAAGCCATGCTTGTTCAACAAGACAAAGAGAGAAATGAAGGGGAAGGTTTAAGGTTGCTTTCAGAGGGTTATTAAAGAACAAGAAAGTTGAAGATCAAAAACGGAGTTGGAACTTGAAATCTGGTATAGGAGTAGTATTTTTTTGGTACGGGGCTTTGGCAACTGAATGATTTGAATAGATTCGTAGGGCTTTATATATATAGGTGAAATGTCCAATGCTTTTGCATTAAAAAAATGGAAATGTATATATAATCGAAATGATTATTGAATATGGAGTACTGGAGAGCGAGAGAACCAGACGCAACTGGGACGAACCAGGGCAGACCCACGCGTGGGTGGAAGAGGGGGTTGAGTAGGTTAGGTGGTGCGCAGACTGGACACACCAGAGGGAAAATGACGGGCTCGACCGTGTCCCAGGGAGGCACCTTTCGAACTTATCTTTCCATTATAAAAAGAAAAAGTGGGTCCTCCTTGGCACACTCTTTGTATCTTTTTATTTTTTAAATTAATTAAAAATATAGAATAAGAATTAAGGTGTATTACTCTTTATTTTACATTTCCTAATAAAGCATGAAACGCAATGTTATGACCCATCCTGATTAGTTGAAATTGAGATTATGAAATTAGTTTACAATTTTTTTCATTTTGTATTTGCTTAATTAGGTTTAATTTGGTTTTGGTTATCAAGTTTCGGAAAGCATTAATTGGTTAATTGGATGTTAATAGTATTTAGTAACTTGATGCATGAGATCATATTTCTAAAATTTAATACTACAAGTTTAATTAGCATTCTACTTTAGGGAAAGTGAGAAGAATTTTACTATCACTAGTACTTTTGGGATGAGAAATAATGGGTTTCATCTGCAACTTGTTTGATGGTCACACCTTTGTATTGAATTCAAGGGGTTTTCAAAATACAAAATATAAAACTATGTTATTTTGTATAATCTATTTTGTTTGTTGAGAAAAAAAAAACTTTTTGATTGCTTTTAGTCTTTGAATTTGTGACCAATATAATAATAACCAGTCTTAATTTACATTCAATTTTAGTTTCAATTTCAAAATCATTTCCTAACGTAGTTATCGAAAGCAACCATTGAGCTTGAGTCATTGCCAATGGGCTGTTGTACTTATATGCCAAGCATTGAACTAAGTGAATCCTCTCTTATATTTCAACTTCAGAAACCTAGTTTGGAGGAACCCATAAAAAGTCAAAATTTCCTGCATGACATTCCAACAAGACATAATTTTGGTGAAAGCAGTATGGAAAAATATTGGAGAGTTCATGTCTAATTGATTATAGACATCCTAGAATTGATTGATAATGACCTGGAGATGAATCTTAAGCTTAAGTTTAATAATACCTGTGGTGATCATACAATTCTTACTTGTTTGGGAAATGCGTTAATCCTACACCTTGATCTCACGATTAATCTGGATTATCGGAATTGGAAACTGAAGAGATTTGTTCCCAAACTCATAAGTCCTAATCATGACAATTAGGCAATTCATTAATTGATATAATCACTAATGGACTAATGCACCAAAGAATAATTCACCTTTTTTGGTGAACGTGTTAATCCATCACATGGGCTACTTTCCTTTTCAGATTTGGCAATGTGTCTCAGTCTTATTCTCATTTCAATTCTCTATAGGTACATTAGAAAAGCTGAAAAAATAACACCCTTTGGCCTTGCATTGGCCACAAAAACTGATTTGGCCATGGAAGAGTACTTCTAAACTCAACTGTTCTGTGTAAGTTTGGTTATCACATTCCAAAAGGAAAATGAAAAGAAAATAAGTTCCAATGTAAGCATGAAATTTCGATCCATTGAGCTTTAATTTGCATGGGAAAATCATGGAGTTCTGAAATGGGAGACTTAAAACAAGGACAATCTGGACTCGTGGTTTTGGTCGTGGGAAGGTGATGAAATCCATAAAATAGTGATTGGTTCAAGGTCTTAGTCTCACGGGAAAAGAGTTGAAAAAGTAGTATAGTACTGTAGTAGCACAGCTAAAAAGTTTGGTTTGAAAATCACTCGCGGTTTTCTCCAACAAAAAGAAGGCAATCATGACCACGTGAGGCCTGAACTAACTGTACGAAAGTAGCCTGACAAAGGCTAAGATAAAAAACAACTGCAGTTTTCCCCTGTAGGAACTGATCGCATTAGCGTCAACTTCTTCAGCTCTGTTCATTGCAGACCCTACCAACCGTGAGTTACGGGGCAGCCCCGTCAGATGCACCATTCAATCTCTCCCACATTCCAATTTTTAATTTTTGTAGAAGAATTTCAGATAGTCAAATCGTGTTGTTACTCATGTCTGTTCATATATTTTTCTTTAGCCTAATTAAATCAGAATGATTCAGATTATTTTTCGTTGGTAGTTTCAACAAATGAGCAATTAAGTAACTACTTAACATGATGTTGAGTAATCAAGCAAGGACGAAGAAGTAAATGCCAGAGAGGGAGACTACTAAATGCTGGTCAAGATCTTTGGTTGAGGATAAGAACAAAGTGAATACTTAATACAAGTCCATGTCATCACTGGAACTTTCCTCTCTCTCTCTTTGAGACTTTAAACTCTTTTCTTAATCAACTTTAACTTTTTGTTTTAATTTGTTAATTCTTTCATTGACCAGCTGATGTTGATTCTGTTTTTACAAGTGATCTAAACCAATTAAGTTTGCTATTTGATGACTATGGCACTCAACAACTATCAAAAAAGCAATAATGTGTATTTTTTTCTTTACTTACGATTCTGTTTGATGAATTTGCACTTAACTCATTGGATAATCCTAACATCAATCTCAAACTGCAATAGTCTTTACCTTAGTCTTTGTTTTAACGAACAAATCAATGAGCTCTAAAGAAAATTTTGTTTGCTCATGTTAGTATTCCAAATCCAAATCAGGGAAGAGGATAGAGAAATCCAAGTTCTTTATTAAAGCTTCTTGCGCTATAATCGTTGAATTCTGATTCGAGATTACTGCTAATTAAATTTAGCATCAGCTTGTGAAACGAATAGCTTGAAGCTAGAAATTAGTTATCAGCTTGGGATCTTAAATGCTTTTCAGCATAGGCCATAGGTAGGGCATTAGGGAAGGGAGCAGTCAATTAGTTATTTCAGAAAGCAAAAAGGATGAGAAATAATAAACCAGCATTAATTCGCTACACCTTTTGGGTTGCATGATTAATGGAGTGATTAAGATTAGGTAAAGGGGATGTTTGATTGTTAAAATTTTGCAGTTTGCTTAGAAAGGGTAACATCCTGATGGGTCCCAGAAATCAATAGGTAATTATACCTCTCTAGTGTTTATTTCCATTTTGCCGACTCAACCTATCACATGATGAACCTTTTCATCCCACAACTCTCCAACATTTCTAGAGGCTTTTGTCTTAATCATGTCTTCGAAATCATGGTGCCTGCCACTCCCCCATTGCACTAGTATTGTCATTAATTATTCTTAACAAAACAATGATCAGGCCCTGCTTAACAGGAAGTAGAAATTAACTAAACTTGACATGTTTACAACTTATTAACAGTTCATTTGAGAATTTGATTGAAAGGTTAAAAGTTTAATTATAAAATGCAATCGATGTTCGTTTAATTATAGAATTTGATCGAATCGATATTCGTTTCCCTTCCGTCAAGAAACAACAAAGCTCTCCTGTCCATAAAATCCTGAACTCCTTATTGAGTTTTGCCATTTTCATGGCTATAAAACCCAAGACCTATCTAAAAGCTAACTGTATGGAACTTAATGCTTTGACGCCAGAGTCAAGACATTAAAATGTAGAAACCATGAAGCCCACGCACCAGATCAAGCAGTGCGTTCACGTTTATGAATTGATCAGAGAATGAGTTTTCAGTTTACCAAGTTTCAAGAAAAGTTATTTACCAGGCCCCCCCCTCCTGCCCCCTTTTAAGGCACACCAGCTTGAAAATGAATAAAACAAACTTAGTTTGCCCTAAAAATGGGATTCAAATCACTCCATAATTATAAGATCAGTTCTTTGCTCATCCATATTTCTGATTTGAGTCACTGCACTTTCCTGGATGATTTCATCAGATATTTTTGAAGTGATAGATTCTATTTATGTTCACAATCAAGCTGGCTAGTGGAGGCTTTTAACTATAAATGTTAGATTCATATCTGTGTTTAAAGCAATATCATGCCATCAGTACATCCACATATATATTAGGACTTTGAGTCAAATTCAATGCTTCCACCCCTTGACAAGAAAAAGGAAGATATTTTAGAATGCCAGGACTTTTGTGAATTGAAGAGTAGAGGATTGGATAAGGAGAGAGCGATTCATCTACTTTTGCCCCATATTGTCATACATTTATTCTGACAAATGCTGACTCTGCCACAAACACTTTGATGATCTTTTGGACAAAATACTCAGAATACATTTCTGGTTCTCCTACTTTTAGATTGCTTCACTAGACTGAAGAAGAGAAACGATGAAACTTGTTAAGATAGAATCAGGACCAATTACTTTGACAATGTATTAAAGAAACTTAGCTGGAAACTGTTGCTTTCTTGATAGCTCTATTTTGTTTGTCTTTTTCCTTTCAAATGATGCAATAATAGCTGTAAGATTCCATCCCAAAAATTCTACGTACCTGTTCAAAGCAGGCTTGAATACAGTCACGAATTGTTGAAGCCAAATTGTAAAACGACCCACCAATCAAAGCAGCAGCTCCATAGCTTTTTCACCCCAGTTGCCACGGCCTCTTTACTTTAGACTACACGATTTGATGTCAGAGATATTTATTTAAAGAAAAAGAGTCAGAATTCAAGTGATACTGTCGCTCCGAATCTCTTCAGTCTTCATTTTATGTTTTTGCCTATATGGCTGATAGTTAGGGTGTCAATTGTCAATCGGCCATTGTCGAAGTTTTTGTAAGTTTAGAAAATGGAACAATTAAAAACAAATACACTTATTTGTTAAGGGAAAAACAAAGAAAGGAATCATCATTACTTTACATATCCAACCCCTCTATTATGCTCTAACAAATCAAACTCTCAAATCTTGAAGAATCAGTGGTTTCAAAATCTTGTCAAACTCTAGAAATTTGACACTAATTCTTTCAAAAAATCAAAATACATTAGTTTTTAATATCCGAAATTTCAGCGAAAATGCAAAGAAAAGTATGGTGTTGGATTGAGAATTGGGATAAAAATTTAATTCCAAAGGGTCACTGTAATGTATCCACTAGGGAGACAATCTGAGTCAAGATTCGGCGTTGGGATTTTGCTTTTGCTTGGAGAGGTGGATATATATAAGGGATCCTCTTAATCTAATTCCTCTATAATTTATGCCATCTTCTTTCGGCTATTATGATGTAGAATATCAAATCTACCACATATACGCTTTAAATATATCAGATAATCCCTAAAGCAAAGAGTACTGGAAAGCCAAAAGAAACAAGAACAAGGACGCTTTTGTGGTGGAAATACTGATTTAGAAAATGAGGCATTAATTATTCATGACTATGGTAAAAAGTCAATTTTATCATAGCTTTCAAAGCTATAAGATGGAAATAAACCAAACATGGCGACTACGCAATAGAACTTTCTTGCTGGAAACCGTCTGAATTGATCAGATGGGGTTGGTTGATTTGATGATAATCTTCATCAAATCATATATATATATATATATATATATATATATATATATTTGGAATTTTGGTAAAACTTTTGCGACCGAAGTTCCAACAACTTTTTCATCGATACCCACATATAGCTTTTGGAAAAAATTTGGCAGATTAGATTTAGACATTCATGTAGGAAGGATATATTTTCTATTGGATATGAATTTGATTGCCCGTGATTAAGGATGTAAACTATAATTTTAAAAAGAAAAAGATTGAGGGAAGGGTTAAAAGATGATTGGGCATAAAAAAATGAAGAATTATGTATGGTCAGAGATGTAAGAAAGAACCCTGCTTCTTCAACTTTTGTAATACTAATATTTTCTAATGTGCCAAATTCACACCGACCTGCAAAAGAGATAACATTTTATATTTCCAATTAGAGAAAAATGCGTATCTAGCGTACAATGGTAAGTTTAATTAGATCTGAAACTAAGTCCACTGACCAGTCAAAAAGTAATAATTTTTTATTATATATGATTAAAAAACAAGAATTTTTTTTCTTATATGAAGACAGAAAGGTTTGGCTTGAAAATACGAATTAGCATCATTTATTCTCTGCTTTGCGAAGGAACAGAAAGAGGAAAATGGAGATTTCGAGATTGGCTTTTTGGGCTCTTTTTCTTTGGTGTGCTTGAAATGAGTTTCAAAAGATAGGTCAGTTGTACAAATGGGTTTGGGCCAGAATTTGGTGGAAAGTATTGGGTTTGTACTAGAGCTGTTGATATTTTATTCTTTCTTTCTTTTTCAAATTAAATTATAGTAGGAGTTCGATTTGGGTGTTGGATTTTTTCACATTTTTGGCAAATTGAGTTTTGTTTGTTTGTTTTGGTGTATCCTTTCTGGGCGGCAATGATGGTTCATGGCACTGAATTTCAAGTGCCTACCCCTTCTCAGCATTCTAGTCCACAAGTTTGTGAACCAAACTTCCACCTCCGAAATTATCAAAAGAAAAAGAAAATTTCTAAGCTGACAATTCGAAAACAAGTAAACAACATCAATTTGGTTGGTCCACCAGGCCTCTGCAATAATACAATTCTGTGGTTGCCAATTTATATCTACCAATGATCGATTACCATTACACATGGAGTGCAATGGAGCCAAATACCATCGGTCTCTATTTGTTATGACAAAGAGTGGGGGCAAAGTGTTTGATACTCTTATCGTTTCCCATTGCCGTGGCAAACATGCTCTCTCTAGAGCTTGAGTCAAACTCAATATGAAGACAGGACAGCCACATGACGGCCCATTCTAAAGCCTTGCATGATAGTCAAGTTTTGGGTATAATTGTAGTTAAATCAAGTTAAAGTTTGATAATAATTTTCATTGGTCATCAGGTCTTAATCAAGTTTTACAAATCATGGCTTTCCGATCACATCAAACTCTGGTCTTCGAGGGTTCATGTCTAACATTTGTTTTTCTTGTCCCACTTTGTTACCTAGCATTTGTCAGATCATATCGTTCCAATTGAAAAATCTTTCTCAAATAACAGAGACAATGATACCGTGAAGGTGACAGCCACATGGCAAATATCAGCCAGTCGCGTCTGTCCCCGTGGCTCATCATCACCAACCTATCACAGACGTCGCTCTCAATGTGACGACGGCTATTGACGTGGTTGCGTTTGCCACCGCAGCGTGGCTGCTCCTACTTATGCGAAAAGAATCTCAAGTTTGGAATATAGTCCATGCAATAATTCATCTGAACCGTAGGTTCAATGGATCGTCTCGGTTATTTTCCAGACATAAGAAGTGCAACGAGTCGGTTCAATTTAAGAAAATGCCCATTGCTTCCTGCAGATTTAGAAAAATTCTTATTAGAAAGGAGGATTGAAAATTTGGAGTCTTAATTACAGATAGATCTTTTGAAAGAGAATCATGTCAATTGAGAAGGTTGTTAATCAATTACCCTAATTGTATTTCTAATTGATGAGTAGGAAAAGAAAACATAGAGGTTTTAAAACTAAATATTCCTTTTAATTAATGCTCCAAATATACTTAATACTGTAATTTGTTAGGAAACGAAAACATCTAATGACTTATAAATGGAATTTTCAGTTTCTGCCAAGTGCCATTGTAAACTTAATTACAATTTCGATTATTCTCGTGACGGCTCGCAAGCCAATATCATCACATTAGAAATATCATCACTCATTGTTCACTCTAGTCTCTTCCCACTTTCTTATTTCCGCTTTCAATTTGACCAGAAGAGCTTTCTTTTAGATCTTTGATCACATTTTTTGATTACCCATTTCTCTTCTCACCACAAGTTTTGTGATCAAGTAGCTTCAGGGAGTGCTTTAAGCACTGAAAGAACGGGATTTATTTTGCATACGGGTTTTCCGGTTTGGAGTTATTCTCGGATCTGGGTGTTTCCAATTATGGATCTTTTTTGACTTAAGACATGGTCTAAAGTCGTCTGAGCTTTTTAATCTCGCTTTGATCAGAGTTCTTATTTGTTACATTTTGTGGCCATGAAATTTTGGGACCATTAACAAAGTAGTTTTGCCTTTTCTTTCTCCATTAAAGATTCCATTTTTGCTGAGTTTTGATTTTTTAAAAATTTGTTTCTTTTTTTTTTTCCTGTTAGAATCTTCTGAGAATCGTCTGGTTGTTTTGGTTTATTGATAAATTAATTCAGCAATGGAATCTTGCTGCATGGCACTCAAGGGTAATGCCAATCTGATTGATGTTAGCAAAGGTCGTAGTAATGGAGGCAATGTTTTCTGGGGTGAGAGTATCAGGGGAGGTCTTAAAAGCTGGGATTTTGGAACACAATTATGGAAGAGTTTGAGAGCCGAAAATGGTGTTAAAAAAGCTAAGCCTGGAGTTGCTTACTCTGTTCTCACCCCAGATATTGACAAGGAGACTCTGGTAATTACAAGAAAGCATTTTTAATCTTATGTTTGTTCCAAGGATTAAACAATTAGCATTGGATTTCTTATAGTGAGAGTTTCTAATTTTTCTAATTATCTGATATCCTTTTCTTTTTTTTTTGTTCAATGTGGGCACTGATCATTACTAAGCATTTGAATATTTTGATTATCAGAAGTTTCAGGCACCAATGTTTGACACTCCACAAGCAGACCCGAAAAATGTGGCTTCCATCATATTGGGTGGCGGTGCTGGGACACGCCTGTTTCCTCTCACTAGCAAAAGAGCCAAACCAGCAGTAAGAAACCATTGCCCAGAGAAAGTTTGAAACTTTATACTTTTTGAAAGTAAATAAATTTTCCTTATGATAATTAAACCGAAATGAATCAACTACCAAGTTCTGAAAATTAAACTCATGATTGGTAGGTTTTAAAAAAATAATCTCCTAAAACTTTTTTTATTTGAGTTTGCTATGATTTTGTTTGGTTTGCAGGTTCCAATTGCAGGTTGCTACAGGCTGATTGATATTCCAATGAGCAACTGTATCAACAGTGGGATAAAAAAGATATTTATCTTAACTCAGTTTAACTCCTTTTCCCTCAACCGGCACTTAGCTCGGACATACAACTTTGGGAACGGTGTAAATTTTGGAGATGGTTTTGTGGAAGTAAGCCCATGTTGATTTAGCAATAATACTTGGAAAGATATTCGAAATTATGCATATTACTAGTTGAGGTTTGGCATCTTATTTAGAAATGCATGTTTCTGCGAGGATCACGACTTTTTACAAGTTCCATGCACATGAAATCTAATTGTTTTGTGAATGTTTTGATGAAGCTATGTTGCCTGTAACAGGTGCTGGCGGCCACTCAAACACCAGGAGAAGCAGGGAAGAAATGGTTCCAAGGAACAGCTGATGCTGTGAGGCAATTTGTGTGGGTCTTCGAGGTTAGTTATTAGGATTTGTATTTGAGCTGAAATCATCGGTCTAATCCCTGAAGTTCACCAAATATGATTTACGGTACTACCAGGATTCCAAAGCCAAGGATGTGGAGCATGTGCTGATTTTGTCCGGTGACCATCTTTACCGGGCAGACTATATGGATTTTGTGCAGGTACTTAGTTCAATTGCTAGGAGCTGCAATATAGCATTCAAAGCATCTTATTTTCTCTTTTCATGCATAAAGATTATACCTTGAAAAATCATTCTGGCTAATCCACAGCTATTGTTCTCGCAGAAGCATATTGATTCAAATGCTGATATCACAGTCTCATGTTTGCCGATGGATGACAGGTATTTATCATGTTATTTTATGTCATGTTGAACATTCCTATACAGAGTGTAATGGCTATAATCGTTATAAATGATTCTCTTTGCATGACATGAGTCACAGGGAACTGAAATTTACTGTCAGGTTTTTCAATATTTCAATATTGATCCTCTGTCTGGCTTTTAAGATTCTTTTAATATTGCCTATATGTTTCTATTGCTCAGAACATGAAGTATATGTTAGAAAATTTAAGAAAACAGAACTAATAAGAAAGAAGAAATATGGTTACGAGGAGTGAAGAACATTATTTTAAAGGCAATTATGTCTATAGGATATAACAAAACATTAAAAAATTTTCAAATTAAAACTATTAAAATTGATTAGGCAAAAAGATTTATTTATAATAAATAAACAATTATCAATTAAGCAAATTCAAAAAGTCATGATATTTTATATAGTCATATTTTTATATTTAAATAAATTTTATTTAAACAGTCATGTTTTTCTGTTCAAATATGTTTATTCATATCATCATGTTTTTCTTTGTTCAAACATATTTATTCAGAATAAAAATAAATTTTAGTAATATTTCGAAATAAAAAATAAAAGATTTAAAAATTAAATTTATTTATTATGCAAGCCTAAGTGCTTATCTTTTATATTTAAAATTATTTAACCTACAAGGAAAATTTTTAGCCAGCTCAAATAATTTGATCAACTCTAATACTTAGATTAATCTTAAGTAACATAAATAATCTCTTTTAAACTACATATAAATGAACGTGAGATATATGACATTTTAAACTACTAACAATAAATACAAATAGTTGCTTTCCTTCAGAATTTGGGGATTAACTACATTTTTTTTGCAGCCGTGCATCAGATTATGGATTGATGAAGATAGATGGAACAGGACGGATCATCCAGTTTGCTGAGAAACCGAAGGCCCCCAACCTTAAAGCTATGGTACATGCTTTTACTACTTATCACTTCTTCACCCACATTTCCATAATTTTTTGTTGTTTTCAAACATTATTATTTTCCTGATAATCAAAGCTGTATATATGCAGTTGCTGGCATCAGTAATTTTTTCCATATCAGTGATCTTGCTTGTTTCACATTTGTATTACAGCAAGTTGATACCTCCATATTAGGGCTATCAGCACAGGATGCTTCAAGATATCCATACATTGCATCAATGGGTGTATATGTGTTTAAAACTGATGTCTTGTTAAAGCTTCTGACACGGAGCTATCCATCATGCAATGACTTTGGCTCTGAGATTATACCGTCAGCTGTAAAGGAACACAATGTACAGGCAAGATGACTTTTTCAAGAATTTTTACCCTTAGTTTTCTCTGCGGATTTTTCCGTACTAATCAGATGTTATTATATGCAATAATGAGGTCTTGTAATCTGGTGACCAAATTGCTGAGTTTCTGACAGTTTGAATATTTGCAGGCATATTTGTTCAATGACTATTGGGAAGACATTGGGACAATAAAGTCCTTTTTCGATGCCAATTTAGCCCTCACAGAACAGGTTGCTCTCACTTTGGTGTAAAAGTTTAACCTTTATGTGATTTATTGATCAATGCAGATACTAAATCCCCATTTATCCGCTTGCAACAACCCAACAAATATAAGATCTTAAATTAGCTGGCTGCAGCAACAAAAGTTTGCATATTTTTTGTAATAGTTCTTCTAAATAAATAAAGATCCTTTGATAAGATGCTGCCTTGTTATTTTTGCATATACATATCAGATACTTCATTGGGTATCTTGCACGATGGGACACCTCACGCATCCCACCCATGTACCACTCACAAGCCTAAACATGGCATTTGGTATGCATTTCCTGAAAACTGAACGTTTTGTGTTTTCCATGCAGCCACTAAAGTTTGAATTTTATGATCCAAAGACACCTTTCTATACATCTCCAAGATTCTTGCCTCCTACCAAAGTTGATAAATGCAAGGTTTGACTTTAAGCTTTAGTTTATGTTGTGATTAAAAATTTGCTTATCTTATTTCATGTTGGTTGTTGCAGATTGTTGATGCCATAATTTCACATGGTTGTTTCTTGCGAGAATGTAGTATACAACACTCTATAGTTGGTGTGCGTTCACGTTTGGAGTCTGGCGTTGAGCTTAAGGTGATTCAACATCTTCTACTTCCCATAGAAAAGTATCTAACAAGGGCTTAGAGTACCTCTTTTTGATGATAAACTGCATTTTAGAAGCAGGACTCTTTCTGGTCCTATACTTTTTTAAGTCACTCCGGCCCATCACTAATTGAACAATTTAGAGTTAGCAATGCCATTGACTACACTTGAGAAGTTCCTAGACAATTTACTTGGCACCACAAGAGGCAGATTATGGAGATTAAATATGGAGATATTTCCTGTTGCCTCAACAGTTCTGAATGGTTGTAGCAATTAATTTAAGATTTTTCTGGTGCAACCTCTTATGCATCTCAAAAGAACCAAGATGCATAAGAAGTGGTGAACATATCCGAGCAAATCACATGATTAACCAGTCAAGCAGCGGGCAGAAGCAATAAGACGACAATAATTACTGGCTCTAAATAAAAAATACAAGTGCCATTGTTAGTCTTTATTTTATAACAAAGTTCTTTCAAAGCTGTTTACTTTTAATTTTATCTAAAAGCTTTACAATTCATCTTCGTTATGGTTCCTTTGCAGGATACCATGATGATGGGGGCAGACTACTACCAAACTGAGTCGGAAATAGCATCTCTGCTAGCAGAAGGAAAGGTTCCTATTGGTGTTGGACAAAATACAAAGATCAAGTAAGATTTAGATTGAAAAACCGCCTGTGTCACCCAACAGCATCTATTTTTTTTCTCTCTAAAATGTTCTAATCGATCATCTCCATCTTGCTCTTGTGTTTTGGAAGGAATTGCATAATTGACAAGAATGCCAAGATAGGAAAAGATGTAATTATATCAAATAGTGATGTAAGTATTGCTTTCCTTGCTATGGATGTCTAGTGTATCTAGAATTTTTATTTCTTTATAATTTACTTAGAGAAATGTAGAATGGTTTTTCACTTGATAATTTTAATCTGCTTTAACTGCTCAGGCTGTTCAAGAAGCTGAGAGACCAGAAGATGGCTTTTACATTAGGTCTGGGATCACAGCCATAATGAAGAATGCAACAATCAAAGATGGAACCGTTATATAAAATTTTGATTTCTTCCATAGGTTGCTCTGTTCGATTCAGCCGGTGAAGGAAAGCTGAGAGCCCTAGTCTGCTGCCTTCTGCTGTTTTGCATTAAAAATATAGGAGTAATGCTTTGTATATGTAAAATATAGGAAAGTTGCTACGCAATTTTCAAATCAACCCAAATACCATTGGCTTTATTTATGTCTTCTTGAATTCATTTAGTAGTGCAAAAGAACGTAGCTTACAGAACAAAAAAAGTTGGTTCATCAAATTAGTACTTAAACTTCACTATTCTAACACCATGACAAATTTTCTTTCCGAATTTCCTGCTGTCTTACTGACACCATTCCCAGCCCACCATTGTACCTTTCTGATATCCCTTGCTCTGAGACTCTTGAGTAATGATGTCGACAGTTGAGGTGCCTTGATGAGACCTAAATACTTGATCTTGATGAGACCCATATAACTGAATAATTACTTTTGACACAACTCCTAATTGGTAACCATGAAGTCATTTTGAGTGATGGTAGACTGGAAGCTGTGCCATGGCTAATCCCACTTTACTATGTCAATTTTATTCATATTTATTAAGAAATTTGATTTTTTATCCTAATAAAAATAAAAATAAAAATTATATTATAGGTATGAAAATGTGAATAAATATAATTTTAAAATTTTTTTGAGTATAAAAATGAAGACAAATAGTATAACATCCGTCTTGTATCATACCTTACATATATATTTATATATATTTAGTAAATATATTTTTATTAAATAATATAAATTATTATTTTAAATTAATTAAAATTAATATATTTTTATTGAAAATATATATTAATATAAATTTATAAAAAAATTTAGTTAAATATACAAAATAAAATTAAAAAAATTAAAAAATAAATTTTAAATTTTTTTAAATATAGATATGAGAATCATTCATATTAATTAAATATTAAAAATAAAAATAAATTTAAATTTAAAATACGTATTTAATATAAATATAAAAATAAATATAATATAAAAGTTAAAAACTGAAGATAAAAAATATTTTACTCTCCTCGTACCTTATCTATTAACATTCTTATCCCAATTCCACGAGGCACGTATCAAATTCCAAAGAAAGAATGTGCACAGCCTACCCCGTGTTGGATTGAAACCGATGTCCAAGAAGTACCGCATTAACATTTTGGGAAGAACGTTATTGTTCCCAGTTCTTGTACGTTTTTACACTAAAAACTCCACACTGAAGTCTAGTGAAATTGGATAGGAGTGGGAATGGTTGAACCAACTACTACTAACATGCAAAACTGACAGCCTACCACGTCACGAGATCCATGTGTTTGATAGAAAGAAACTACAGCGTCGTATATTAAAATCATGGGCCAAAACCTGAAGTTCAGAGAGGAATATTGTAGTATTAAATTATTAAGTACTTTGTTTTGTCCTTCTCTTTGACTGAAACCGAATAGAAAGACAAAAGAAATGGGATCAGAAGGCGAGATCGTATGCGTGACAGGCGCGTCTGGGTCATCGGATCATGGCTTATCATGCTGCTTTTAGAACGTGGTTATGTTGTACGCGCCACTCTGGGCGACCCTGGATCGTTTCACTTTTTTTTTTGTCACTTTCTTGTCACAATCATCTATGATCATTGACCCATGATCTAACCCTTTTTTTTTTAAATAAAAAATTAAAAAAACAAAATCCTGTAATAATATAATTTAGTAGTATTTTAATTGATATATATTTTTTTGTTTATTAACGAAACAGACAACTTTAACAAGTAAAGCATTTATTGGAGCTGCCAAAAGTGAAGACACAGCTGACTCTATGGAAGGCAAATTTAAGTGGAGAGGGAAGCTTTGACAATGCAATTGAAGGCTGGAAGGGTGTGTTCTTTTTTAGGTCGCCACGCCTATGGATTTTGAATCCAAGATCTTGAGGTATTAATATTAAAAAAAAATCTTTAACATTTACTAGTTTGGATTAGATGAACATTTTTTAAAATGTGAATTTTAGGTAAGAATATAAATAATATATTAATATTTATAAATTATTTGAATTTAATTTGAATAAATTAAATTTGAGTTTGAATAGTTCAACTTATCGTTTGAGCAGAATTCAAGTATTTTTATATTTAATTCGAGTAGTTCACGAATTTAATGAAATTTTTATATTTTAATATATTTTAATTGATAAAAATATATCAAATTTAAATTTACATTTAAGCATAAATAATCAAATTTTATCGAATATAATAATCGAATTTATTTTTATATGTTAATCGAGCTTAAATCGAACGAATTTAAGTAATTTGATTTTTATATTGAATCGAGTTCAATTTAAAAAAATAAAATTCGATTAAATTTGAACCAAATTTTGAATCTAAAATTTAGAATCGAACTCAAACTCAAATTTAATATTATATCGATTTAAATTCGATCAATTACACTTCTAATTTTAAGATTCTAAGTTCTAACCGAAGATGAAAAGCTAAATATTTTCCATTTATGGTAAGCACTAAGCAGAAATGACCGGAATAAGAACATAAAATTGTAGCTTAAAGTCAAGAATGAAAGCGGACTAACGTCAATTTTAATTTTGATTTTTGCTTTTTGGTCACATATGAATAAGTTTAAACGAAGAGAGGGTCCGTTCTTCTAGGGATAGAGGATAAATTTGAACAATATTTATTTCAATATAAGATTTTATAAAAAATATATAATAACTTCTAATATGGTACGTCATATGTATATTTATATTACATGCGAAATATCCTGTTCATATTTTATATTTTATTCAAAATTAATTATTTTAAATATATTAAGAGAATAGTTTATGAAATATTAGTTTATGATATATTATCCTTTCATTAACTTTCGTCCGAGAATAAAAGTATAATGGCAAAATTCATGTTAACAAATGAAAAAAAAAAATGCTGATGCGTTATTATATTCTATTTTTTGTCTAAAAAAGTAAGAATATACCCCAATGTCCAACCTAACCTAATACATGATGATAGAAAATCAACATCAAGTTCTTCTTTCTCATCATTCTATATTTTACATGACGATCAAACATAGAATAAATTGTTTATGCTTTGTAGAATGAAGTCGTAAAACCAACAATCAATGGAGTGTTAAGCATCATGAAAGCATGTGCCAAAGCCAAAACTGTTAGAAGGTTGGTGTTCACATCATCTGCAGGAACTATTGATGTTGCAGAACACCAAAAACCCTTGTACGATGAAAGCTGTTGGAGCGATCTTGAATTTATTCGGGCCAAAAAAATGACTGGTTGGGTTAGTATGGATGCTTCTAACTTTCCAAACCATAACGATCGAAGACACAATCAAGGCAAAAAAAAAAAAAAAGCAAAAACAAATCACTAAATCTAATCTTTTTTCCTGGTTGTATAGATGTGTTTTGCGTCCAAGACTACGGCAGAGCAAGCTGCCTGGAAGTTTGCAAAGAAAACATCGATTTTGTCAGCATAATTCCACTTTTAGTGGTTGGTCCATTTATTATGCAATCGATGCCGCCAAGCCTCATAGCTGCACTATCTCCAATCACTGGTACAAGCTTCTGTAACACGTTGGTCATTGCTTGAATTAATTATACACATAAATTTTTACCATAATTTTCTGATGGAGTTGTCTTAATGCAGGGAATGAAGCTCATTACTCGATCATAAAACAAGGCCAATTTGCTCATTCGGACGACTTGTGCAGAGCTCATACCTTTCTGTTCGAGAATCCGAAAGCAGAAGGTCGCTACATTTGCGCCTCTCACCATGCGACCATTCTTGATATTGCAAAAATGCTCAGAGAAAAGTACCCTGAATATAATGTTCCTACCAAGTAAGTTCTTACTCAGCAAAGACCTGGTAAACATAATTTCTAAAGATTGGGATTATTTCATTGGCCATGATTTTAAGTTTCTAAAAGAATTACCAGAATTTTGATTCATGACCTGATGAGACAATTGTGGTCAGGTTCAAAGATGTGGATGAGAACTTGAAGAGTGTGGAATTCTCCTCAAAAAAGCTCATGGACTCGGGCTTTGAGTTTAAATCCAGCTTGGCAGACATGTTTACAGGAGCTGTCGAAACATGCCGAGAAAAGGGACTGCTTCCTCTTTCTAATGAGAAGAAGATAGACATGAACTAAAAGAAAAACTATCAACAGTGGGTGCCATGTCTTCCATTTCGAGTTGTGAAAAATAAAGATTTAGGTGAGGCATTAGCTTTCCTGGTATAATAATTTCGGGTTGACCATATAAATAAGTTTGGGCGACTTTGTGATTTGTCTTATGTATGCAAACTTCTTAGAAATCGAGGACCCACGTTCTGAACTATCAAATTTAATGGGTTTCATTTGTTGAAAAACATTAATCAAATTAAATGTTATGAGAAAGGGTTTCCACCCTTCTAATTATAACCTACTCATGTTCATATTCCACCAAATATTGTGGTTCTGAGACGAGTGGCTACACTTACCAAACAGTCAAAGGTGCTGCTGAAAGCAAAAATGAGAAAGGAGAAAGCCCTAACATTGCATCAGAAAGTCAGGGACCTAATTATTGGTAGCTGCCACTCTACTAATACAGTTTTGAATTGGAATTTTTAACAAGAAAATGGATGTTTTGGACGAGTATCGCCTATGTAATTAAAGCTTCTTACTGTTGAAATCATTTACTCAACATGATTTAAAATGCCCATTTAAGTTCGTTGAAAACTATTGTTGAGACCAACTTGGTAACTTTTGTACAAGTTTTATAAAAAATAACTCATTTTCTTACCAACTGAAGTAACCCATGTATAATTTGAAACAAAATCAGATAGATATAATTTGATTGAAAAAAAAAAAGGATTAATTATGTGATAATGGCTACCAGTTAGGCTGCTACCAACCAATCAAGCACATGCGACTTGGTCAGTTGACACGTGAGTTTACATACACTGTTCGTGCATTGGTAGATGGACCTAAGCATCAACGGCTCGAAATCTAATCAATGAAGCCTTTTTTCTGTTTCCATCTTTGTAAGTTTTACTGAGGCATATCCAATCTTATAAAAGCTACCAATGCCAAACTTTACCAATTATTATCTTTCTGTTAGTGGTGAATAACTAAGCCAAAAACAAATTTAAGTTTGTCAAATCTATCAATCTTAAGAAAGCCATGGGATCAGGATCTCAAGCGGTTTGTGTCACGGGGGCGTCTGGGTTTATTGGATCATGGCTCGTCATGAGGCTCCTGGAGAATGGTTATACGGTTAGAGCCACGGTCCGTGACCCTGGTTCGTTTCCCTTCTCACCATGATGTTTACCAAATAATCCTTGTTGACTTTTATTTGTATCTTTGGTCTGCTGACTGAAGTATTTTTCTTATTATTTTAAACAGATAATGTAAAGAAGGTGAAGCACTTGCTTGAGCTGCCTAAAGCCGATTCCCGCTTGACTTTGTGGAAGGCTGATTTATCTGAAGAAGGAAGCTTTAATGCAGCAATTGAAGGCTGCTCCGGAGTGTTCCATGTTGCCACTCCAATGGATTTTGAGTCCAAGGACCCTGAGGTTTGGTCTTTTATCAGTTGCAATTAGTCAAAAATATGTTACAAATTAAATCTAGATATCCTTCCTTTACATAAGTGTTGACCAACAAAACTTGTTTTCCTAATCATTTCACTGCAATATTTCCAAGTTGAATCTCTTACTTGTTTTAGTAATCATAAGGAAAAACCAATAATTGGTTGCTAAATATAGGAAATATTTTACACTTAAATCATTTCACTATCAGGATTTTCTTTGTCAGATAAATGATTAATATTTTTTCCCTTGCTAATCAATGATCATCACTGCAAGAAGTTATGGTTTATATAGCAACTATGTTTTCCAAATTTCTAGATAACTTAATCAGATTAATGACTTCTGTGCTTTGCAGAATGAAGTGATAAAGCCAACAATAAATGGAGTATTGGACATCATGAAAGCATGCCTCAAAGCAAAGACAGTTCGGAGGTTGGTGTTCACATCATCCGCTGGAACTGTCAATGTTGAAGAACAAAAGAGGCCCGTTTACGATGAAAGTAACTGGAGTGATTTGGAATTTGTCTACGCCAAGAAAATGACTGGATGGGTTAGTAAGAAGCCTAATTGCTCATTTTTCATTTTTTATTTCTCTAATCGTTCAAAGAAGAAAAAAACTTTAGACCCTTTCTTTGTGGTTTCTAGATGTATTTTGTCTCCAAGACTTTGGCAGAGCAAGCTGCCTGGAAGTTTGCTAAGGAGAATAACATGGATTTCATCACTATAATTCCTACTCTTGTTATTGGTCCATTCCTTATGCCATCAATGCCTCCCAGCCTGATTACTGGCCTTTCACCGATCACCGGTACTTTTGATATTGCCTTTTCTTCTTCAAGGTTATAATACTTTAATTCTTCTGTAATTATTTCTGAGAAATAAATGCAGGGAATGAAGCTCATTACTCGATCATTAGGCAAGGCCAATTTGTTCACTTGGATGATCTGTGCATGGCTCATATATTCTTGTTCGAAAATCCTAAAGCAGAGGGCCGATACATTTGTTCCTCCCATGCTGCTACCATTGTTGAACTTGCCAAATTACTCAGAGAAAAGTACCCGGAGTACAATGTTCCTACGAAGTAAGCCACTTCTAACAGTATAAAAACTTGGCATGAAAATTCTCTTTACTTCCTTGGATAGGTTACAATATTTGGTTACTTAGCTGATCATGTAAATATTGGTGCTCAGGTTCAAAGATGCCGATGAAAACTTGAAAAACGTAGTCTTCAGTTCCAAGAAGTTGCTGGACTTGGGTTTCCAGTTTAACTATAGTTTGGAGGACATGTTTACAGGAGCTGTGGACACATGCCGAGAAAAGGGGTTAATTCCTGCTCCTATTAAGAGCACAACTCCTGTTTCTGTTGAGAGGGCTGTCAATAGTACCACCCCTGCTTCTATTTAGACGACAGTCAATGGTACAAGTTAGAAGAGAACAATTAATATCTACCACGGATGTAATGCTCATGGCGGCTTTGGTTTTGGTTGAATGAAAATAAAGATTTTCTCTGAGGAGTTTGTTCTTGCTGATATATTGAATAGGGGAGGGAACCATCTGATGTAAAATCTAGTTTATCACGAAATGGTTATCATAATTTGTTTCAAGAATATTAGATCAGATTAATGGTACCCCTAACCTAAGAGGAAATATTCAAAAATGAATGGTAAATAATGAAAAACCAATACCCTTTGATATCACCAATACAGTAGAAGTTATCCTTGGCGCTGGTACAAGTAATTAAGGTTGAAGATTTGAATGCAAAGCACTCAGATTCGAACTTTTACAATCTCCTATTGATAGGTAATTTTTAAATTCAAAAAGTCTTCAAACCAAAAAAAATTACATAAACTTCTTTGTAAGTTGACGTTTTTCTTAGTTTTAGAGATGAGATAAAATGACTTCTCCTACTCCTAATCTTTTCTTGATAAGAAAAAAAAGTTATTCCAGAAAATACCAAACTTTAAACATATGTTTGGTAGTTGGGAATTTTTTTTTTTTTAAATGATGGGATTATGATGATTTTCGAAAATGTATTTGTTCATGAAAAGTTTGGGCTCATTGTTGGTATATCTATATTAAGGCCTGAAGGTGATGTGTTTTCGTCTTAAATATTAGGCCTGAAGTTAAGATTTTTAAATTTTAATTCATTCCAATGAGAGTAATTTTTTAATTAGAAGAATACCGTATTTTCATTTTTTAGATAATAGTATTTTTTTATTTAATTAAAAAATATTTTTGATTAGTTTAATAATAAATAAATAAATATTATTTATTTATACACATAGCGGAGCCAGGACCGGCCCACTCTAAGCCCTTTAAGGCCCGGCTCATTATCCATCCCAGTTTTTTTTTATGGGCTGTTTGAACGGCCCTTTGAACTTTGCGCCATCCCCTTCTTAAGCCCATACAACTGGTTTTAACATTTCAGCGGTTTCTCTTTCCCACCCAAAACAATGGCGGCGATACCTGGCCACCCCACATTCCAATCGCACAAATTCCCTCTCTCTTCCACCGCCTCCTGCTCCTCCTCCTTCTCTGGTGGAGTTCTCCGATCTTCCCGCATTTCCTTCGCTTCTCCTCCGTCGGTCCGCCGAAACCATATCTCTTGCCAGGCCTCCTCCGCCACGTCACTACCTTCTTTCTCCGTCAATGGGACATGTTCATTCTTTGCTCTCTCTTTCAGTCTTTTGGATAATTTATATTTGTTACGATATTGGATGTCAAGTTTCTCACGATTCGATTGTGAAGTTAATTTGGTGATTGCGCTTGGAATTAGGGTTTGCATCTTGCTTTAATTATTTCCTGATAATAGCAATGTTCATTAGATAGATAAATTTTGTTTTTTTCTTTTCGAATAAAGCAGGTTTATATGTATATTTATAGTTAAAGACTTGTAGTTTTTTAATTAATAGTTTAGGATTTAGGGTTTAAACAAATTTCTTTCTCAATTTCCTCCAGTGCTACTGGCATCATTCCCGGCCCACCATTGTGCCCTTCTAATATCCCTTGCTTTCTTCCGTTTCTCGATGATGTTCTTCTACCTTACATCTTTCTAATCCCATTAAGTTTCTGAGACTCTTGAATGATGTTGCTAGTTGAGGTGCCTTGGCTCATGATTACCTCGTACCCAGCTCGGAAAGAGTCCATTCCGTCAGCGAACAGTTGCCAGAACAATCCACCGAAAGCTGCAGCTGCCCCCCCTAACCTAGAATAAATCAGAAGAGCCAGTTTATATAGAGATGATGATTATTTTTATATTTCTGACTCAATACTCTGCATGGTCATTCAAGGGGATTAATGAGCTACAGAAGCAGGCTTGAATTCTGTATACTTTTTAGATTCTTATTGGACCAATGATCAGCTTACAGTTCTGTTTTGATTGACAACTTCACAGAATTGGTATCCGGCCGAAATACTTGAATTTTATGAGGACCCACATTACCAAATGATTACTTCTGACACAACTAAAAATTGGAGAAAGTAGAATAGGATTAAACAATAATACTACTCCTAATTGGTAACCATCAAATCCATTTTGATTGAAAGTCGACTGGTAGCCTTGCTATGGGCTAATCCCACATCCACAAGGCTCAGATCAAATTCTAAAGAAACAACGCACACAGCCTGCCCCATATTAGATTGAAATCGATGTCGAAGAACCGCACTATCATTTTGGGAAGAACATTTTTGTTCCTAGTTCTTGCACGTTTTACACTAAAAAGTCGACACAGAAGTTTAGTGGAATTGGAGAGGAGTAGGTAATGGTTGAACCAACTCCTTACGTGCAAAACCGACGACCTACCGCGTGACGAGATTTAGGGGTGTACAGTAGGTTAATTTGATTAATTCGATCTGAAAAAATCAATAACTGAATTAATCGATTTTTATTTTATCAATAATCAAATCGACCAACAAAATTTTAACTAACTGATTTAACCGAACCGATCAAAAATCGGTTCGATTCGATTAGTTCGGTTAAATAACCGAATTTTTTATCATTTTTTTTCTTATTTTGAATAATTATTTAGCTACAAATTCAATATAATAAAACTCAAATTGACATACCATTCAAACTAAATCACTAAAGAATTTAATAATTTTTACAATATTTTACAAGAAAAAAGACAAATAAATACTCATTTAAACTTATTTAATCAAAATAAATTAAACAATAAGTTTTAAAAAGTATTACTTTAACATATATCAAATAAACAACAAAGCGATCAATACATAATAATTGTCATTTCAACACATAAACAAGTTTTCAAGGATCAACAAGCCAACTTAAAAAAATAAATCAAGTAAATATGCATCTCATAACTTTGGTGCAAAACATAAAAGACATTTTAAGTTGACAAATTGAGCTAACAACTCATACAAAACATAAAACAAGCCAAGAACACTCTGAGTTGACAAATGGATATAAAAGTTCATAAAAAAACATAAAACAAACTAATTAAAGGACATTCTAAGTTCTAACAGCATTCTTCATACATGAACCTCATAACTTTGGTGCACATCTTTCATTTTTTCTTAAAATGTTAAAGAGATTAAAACCTTAATTAGTTGTCAATGAATACAATAAATATTTTTTAAATGTAAATATTCATAGAAATTAATAATGAAATTAACTCAAAAGGTCCATGCACCTTTGTTTTAATCAATTACTGGATCTAAGTCAATTTTTGACAAATCTAAAAATATATAAACAAAAAATAACAAAAGTAAGCTTTAAACAAATAAAAAAATAAAAAATAATAATCCTTAAAAATAAATGATAGTATAAATAAATATTACCTAAATCCATTTTGTCAGCTGTATCAAATCATCTTTAGGTTGAAATGAATCAAGATTAGAAGATCTACGTAACCAATCTTGAGCACAAATAAGAGCTTACACAATTTTAGGAGTTAAAGAGCTCCTATATGCATCAAGCACACGACCACCAGTGTAAAAGCAGATTCGAAAGCAATTGTGGATATAGGAATTGCTAACACATCACGAGCTAGATGGGAAAGGATAGGAACCTATGGCTATTAAGTTTCCACCAAAATTAAAACAATCAAAGTCATCACTATCATCATCATCAGGCTCCTCACTCAAATATTAGCCATTCTGATTTATGTTCATCTTTGCCATGTTCAATCCTATACCTCTTGTACTTGGACTTAAAGCTTTTCCTTTTTTTTTTGTCGTTTCATTTCCACTTTCATCATCGGTGGGCTGTGACATTTGGCTAACTTGACTACTTTCACCAACTTGCTCAGACTGAGGTTCTAACATTTTTTTGTATTCATTAAATAAGTTTTCTATTGCTTGTTGTACTTTTTTAATCATCAATGAAACTTCATTAGAAGAATACATTTTCATGAAGCAATATTCAACAAAGGGAAACTTTTTTGAAGGATCAAGAAGAGAAGCAATATAAACCAACATATTTATCTTTTCTATATTTCCTTAATACTTATCATATTTATCCTTCATTCTCTTTGCCATTGCATTCAACTCAACATTAGGATTTAATTGCCATTCTCGTAAAGTGGAATAAACATCACATATATCATCAAGAAAAGTATTAGATGTGACGTAAGAAGTACTTGAAACTTTCACGGTGAGATCATAAAATTGTTGCAAGAAAAGGTAAAACTTCTTAACAATTGCCCAATCATTTTGATCGGGTACCCCATCTCCCATCAAAAGCTCACTTCTATAATAAGGATCAACATCATCAAATGCATCAAATGCCCTTTCAAACTTTTGAGTTGTATCCAACACCAAATAAGTAGAATTCCATCTAGTGCTAACATCCAAACATAATAAACTTTTACTTTGAATATGTTCATTCACAATACACTCTTTAAACTTAGCTAACCTAGAAGGTGATTGTCTCATATATCTTATTGCCCCTCTAACACGAGCAATTGTTTCATTCATTTCCTTCAATCCATCATAAATAATAAGATTAACAATATGTGCAATGCATCTCAATTGAAGATATTTACCTCCCAAAATACTAGTTTCAGCATTGTTAAATTTTTTCCTCAAATATGCAATTGCAACATCATTAGAACTAGCATTATCAACTGTAACAGTAAAAATCTTATCAATCCCCCAATCAAGCAAACATTTTTCAACCGCCTTACCAATAGCTTCACCTTTGTGACTAGAAATGGGATAAAAATTTAATATCTTTTTGTTTAGTTTCCAATCTTTGTCTATGAAGTGAGCCGTAAGACACATATAATTAACCATTTGTAATGAGGTCCATGTATCAGTGGTAAGAGATACTCTTGTAAAAGATGATTTCATGAATTGCTTCAAATGAGTCTTTTCATCAATATAAAGCTGATAGCAATCCCTAGCAACTATCCATCGTGATGGTACACGAAATCTAGGCTATGCAACTGACATGCAATGCCTAAATCCTTCCGACTCCACAAATCTAAATGGCAACTCATTCAGAATGATCATTTTAGCTACAGCTTTTCTAACAGCATCTTGATTAAATTTCCAAGTGCTTAAAGATTCCACTCCTCCTGACGGCAACACCAATTCTGTTTGAGTACCATCATCCCCACTAACACGAGAAACCTTTTTACAAGAATTCATGTGATTCTTTAAAGTGGTGGTTCCATTCTTTTTAGGATCAGCAAAAAATTCTCTGTCACAATAATTACACCTAGCTTTACGATTACCTTCCTCATTAACAAATTTAGTAAAGTGGTCCCATACCTCTGACCATGGCTTAGATGCTCGTCTCATCACTTTAGAATTTGCAGTTGCACTTTTTGTTACCTCATCATATGCAGGAAGTTGAGAGGCCAATTGTGTTTGATTAGTTGTAGAATCCAAAATCATATCATTCATTTCATTTGACATCTTCAAAAAAAAAAAGCAAGTGATCAAATTATATCCAAACAATAAAAATAAAAAATTATATTATATTAAAATAATAAATAAAAATAAAATTATATTCAAATAATGAAAAAATAATAAAGTAATATTCACACAATTATTGAACACATTGGATATTCAAATAATGAAATAGTTTGTTAATCAAACTATATATTAGTTGCTTATTTTATCAA